TTACTGTGGGCAAGAATCCCTTAGAAGAAATAGAATATCCATCATAGTCAACAAAAGAGTCCAAAATGCAGTACTTGGGTGCAATCTCAAAGACAACAGACTGATCTGTTTGTTTCCAAGGCAAACCATTAAATATCATGGTAATCCAAGTCTATGCCCTGACCAGTAATGCTGAAGAAGCTGAAGTTGAATGGTTACATGAAGACCTACAAGACCTTCTAGAACTAACACCCAAAAAAGATGTCATTTTCATTATAGGGCACTGAAATGCACAAGTAGGAAGTCAAGAAACACCTGGAGTAACAGTCAAATTTGGCCTTGGAGTACAGAATGAAGCAGGACAAAGGCTAAAAAGAGTTTTGCCAAAGAATGCACTGGTCATAGCAAACACCCTCTTCCAACAATACAAGAGAAGACTGTACACATGGACATCACCAGATGGTCAAAACCAAAATCAGACTGATGATATTCTTAGCAGCCAAAGATGGAAAAGCTCTGTACAGTCAGCAAAAAGAAGACTGGGACCTGACTGTGGCTCAGATCATGAACTCTTTATTGCCAAATTCAGACTTAAATTGAAGAAAGTAGGGAAAACCACTAGACCATTCAGGTATGGCCTAAATCAAATCCCTAACAATTATACAGTGGAAGTGAGAAATAGATTCAAGGTATTACATCTGATAGACAGAGTGCCTGAAGAACTTCAACAGGGGTTCATGACATTGTATAGGAGTCAGGGATCAAGACCATCCCCAAGAAAAAGAAATGCAAAAGAGTAAAATGGCTGTCTGAGAAGGCCTTACAAGTAGCTGTGAAAAGAAGGGCAGCAAAAGGCAAAGAAGAAATGGAAAGATATACCCATTTGAATGCAGAGTTCCAAAGAATAGCAAGGAGAGATAAGAAAGCCTTCCTCAATGATCAGTGAAAAGAAATATAGGAAAACAACAGAATGGGAAAGACTAGAGATCTCTTCAAGAAAAGTAGAGATACCAAGCGAACATCTCATGCAAAGATGAGTTCAATAAAGGACAGAAATGGTATGGACCTAACAGAAGCAGAAGATATTAAGAAGAGGAGGCAAAAATACACAGAAGAACTATACAAAAAAGATCTTCACGACCCAGATATTCATGATGGTATGATCAGTCACCTAGAGCCAGACATCCTGGAATGTGAAGTCAAGTGGGCCTTAGGAAACATCACTACGATAAAGCTAGTGGAGCTGATGGAATTTCAGTTGAGCTATTTCAAATTCTAAAAGATGATGCTGTGAAAGTGCTGCACTCAATATGCCAGCAAATTTGGAAAACTCAGCAGTGGCCACAGGCCTGGAAAATGTCGGTTTTCATTCTAATCCCAAAGAAAGGCAATGTCAAAGAATGCTCAAACTGCTGCACAATTGCACTTATCTCACACGCTAGTAATGCTCAAAATTCTCCAAGCCAGTACTTCCAGATGACGTACTTCCATGTTCCAACTGGATTTAGAAAAGGCAGCGGAACCAGAGATCAAATTGACAACATCCACTGGATGATCAAAAAAGCAAGAGAATTCCAGAAAAACATCTATTTCTGCTTTATTGACTATGCCAAAGCCTTTGACTGTGTGGATCACAATAAACTGTGGAAAATTCTTCAACAGATGGGAATACCAGACCACCTGATCTGCCTCCTGAGAAATCTGTATGCATGTCAGGAAGCAATAGTTAGAACTGGATATGGAACAACAGACTGATTCCAAATAGGAAAAGGAGTACGTCAAGGCTGTATATTGTCACCCTGCTTATTTAACTTATATGCAGAGTACATCATGAGAAACACTAGGCTGGACGAAGCACAAGCTGGAATCAAGGTTTCCGGGAGAAACATCAATAACCTCAGATATGCAGATGACACCACCCTTATGGCAGAAAGCGAAGAAGAACTAAAGAGCCTCTTGATGAAAGTAAAAGAGGAAAGTGACAAAGTTGGTTTAAAGCTCAACACTGAGAAAACTAAGATTATGGCATCTGGTCCCATCACTTCATGGCAAATTGATGTGGAAACAGTTGAAACACTGATATATTTTACTTTTTTGAGCTCCAATATCACTGCAGATGGTGACTGCAGCATGAAATTAAAAGACACTCCTTGGAAGAAAAGTTACGACCAACCTAGACAGCATACTGAAAAGCAGAGACATTACTTTGTCAACAGAGGTTCGTCTAGTCAAGGGTATGGTTTTTCCAGTGGTCACGTATGGATGTGAGAGTTGGACTATAAAGAAAGCATAGTGCCAAAGAATTGATGCTTTTGAACTGTGGTATTGGAGAAGACTTTTGAGAGTCCCTGGACTGCAAGGAGATCCAACCAGTCCATCCTAAAGGAAATGAGTCCTGAATATTCATTGGAAGGACAGATGCTAAAGCTGAAACTAAAACACTTTGGCGTCCTAATGCGAAGAGCTGACTCATTTGAAAAGACTCTGATGCTGGCAAAGACTGAAGGCAGGAGGAGAAGGGGCCAACAGAGGATGAGATGGTTGGATGCCATCACTGACTCAATGGACATGAGTTTGAGTAAACTTCAGGAGTTGGTGATGGACAGGGAGGCCTGGCATACCGCAGTCCATGGGGTCACAAAAAGTAGGACACAACTGAGCTGAACGAAACAAACTTTCAAGCACAGAATGTCAAAAAAATGTTTCCAAGGAAACTACTTCCTCACATAATGACTCTTCAATTTTTATGTTGGAAAATATATTGATGATGAGTAGTCTGAGATGTTACAGATGTTAAAAATCATAAAGTCACGTAATTTTAAACATAAGTTATTTGAAAATTCATCTAGTCTTAACACCCTCACTTTAAAAATAAAGAAACTATGACCAAATATCTTACCTAGGGCCACAGAGATAGAAGAACTAGGGGTAAAATGCAACTTTCCTATATCCATATCCATTACCCTTTGCATTATAAACCACACTGCCTCTTCTATATCCTTAGTATTTAGCTAAAATACAGAACACCAAAAATAAAAGACATATTTACCAGGAGATGAGAAAGGAGAGCTAGTCCTGGCGTAAGACACTGAGGTATTCTGGTCATTTTTAGGCTGCAGCTTCATTTGCTTCTGTTTCCCTTTTGGACTATAAGTAAAAATATATGATAATGAGCAGTTCTTTTTTCTAGTAGCAATATGTTATGATAGATAGTATGTTACAAAATGCCTAAGCTAAGCATAGAAGAAATACAATATAATTTAAATGAAATACTTCAAACTAGTAATAGGACAGAGTTAAATTTCAATCATTAAAAATTTTTTAAAAAAGGTTTTGGGATAGTAAAATTCATATAAACAAAGCTTTAGGTTACCAGCTCCATCTTTACACAGGTTTAAGAGTTCTTAAAAAAAAAGAAAGAAAGAAAAAAAACTCTTGGGTCTTGAGATTCCCTCAAAGTAGTTAATAAACTTTAAGAAGGAAGGTAATACATACAAAATGTTTTGAAAACTAAACTGCTACATCAATTTAATATACCTAGGAGCTCTGCTACTAGATAATGAACTGCTGCTGCTTCTTAGACGTTTTCTGTACCGTGGCCTTCTCCTCTTCTGACTCTGGATAGCTGACTTATATTCAGAGATGATATTTTTAATACGACTTTCAAATAAGGCAGACAATCGCAGTGTCATACTATAGATCTGAAAAGGTAGAAATTAGTCTTGTTTTACCAACTACTTCAATTATATAAAAATAAAAGGTTATAAACATGCTTGAACAATATCAACATCATCCTGTCAGACATAATATATGTGCTACTTCTACACTTGAAAAATTCTTCCTGAAGAATTAAAACGATAAACCATTTTTACCTACAAATAATAAGGATTTTCAAAAGATAATATCCAGTGTTGGGAAGGGTAGGAAAAAACATTCTTATACATTGCCAGTGGATATTTTAACCTGAACAAAATCTAAAGACAATTGGCTATACATGCCAAAACCCTTAAAATATACACATCCTTTGGCTAATAATTTCTTCACTAGGAATTTATCCTAAGGTAATATCAGAGAATTACACATGCTCACTATGTTCAAGGATATTAAAGATGTTAGCCACAGCATTATCCATTTAAAGTGAAAAATTTAAAACAATCTGTATCTCTAGCAATAGGATGCTGGTTAAACAACAGAAAACCACCTATATGGTGGGATACAATGGAGACATTAAAACTTCTGTCTTCAAAAAGTAATGATAAAGTGGGAAAATGTTCATTATATATTTTCAGAAAGGCTTCAAAATGTAAATCCTACTAAAAGATATATAAACATTTATAAGTACACATGTAAATGTAGAAAATAAATCGACATTTATTTTAGAAATATGCAGAAAATATAGGGAAAAAAGTGTGAAAAATTATGTGTGCAGAAATCAGTAAAAATTCATTTTATATGAAGTAGAAGTGACCATGTATACATCTACTGTGCAACTGATTTAAAAGTTAATCAGATACTAGTGATAAAAAAACATGAAAATTACATTATTCCTAAGATGTGTAAGTTATGATAGAACATAAAAAAGCCTTACATTAAATGTGAGTATGAATAAAGTTATAATTTCCCAATATAGTTCATTAATTTGTTATAATAAAGGGAACATAAATATTCAGAGCTAAATACTTCATATAAACTAATCCTGCCAACCATTTTTATTAAATTATTTATTGAACATATTAAAGAGTACTCAAATTTCTACTATTCCTTTCTTTGACTTCTTTTTGGCAAATAGGGTGTTATTTAAGAGTAAAGAGGCAAGTAGGAGAAAGCAAGAGGGGCAGCTTAATTTCTCTTTAATGCTTGCTTGAGAAACTGTTTCAGAGAAAGTACTGAGAAATCAAACTTCAGAAACTACATCAGAATGATAGTACATACTTGTTTAGTAATTTTAAAACTGGTTATAGAAAGCTGCCTGATATATATAACTAAACATCTAGGTAATTAATCCACCTAATAATGGTTCTTCATACCCGTGACTTTTTATTAGAGGTGTAAGCTTTGGAGTTGCTGAATATTTGGCGAACATCCTTATAAAATTCCAGAGGACTACCATAGTTTCCTGTTTCCAATGTTTCTTTCACAGTGCTGAAGTCCATAGGAGTGTCTATAACATCATGATGATCCTACAAAGAAGAATGTGTTATTAAACACAAAGGCTAAGTAACAATACTACACAAAACAATGGGACTGAGATTTGCATCGCCATGAAATAAATATACTGCTCTTTAATCTGTCACTTATCTCTTCCTAGCCCCCAAATCACCTATTTAATAGAGGTCTTTTGGTGGCCCAGGGAAATAGTAGGGTTCTGTGGAAGAGCCTTAGCCCTCACCCTTCAATGAAAAACCATTGACTCTCTCAAGGGACAGAACAGAAAATCCACAGCCACTGACTTCAACACTACATAGTTTAGAGTATCTTGAAAATAGGTAGCTGGGGCTGGGGCACTAGGATGACCCAGAGGGATGGGATGGGGAGGGAGGTGGGAGGGGGGTTCAGGATGGGGAACACATGTAAATCCATGGCTGATTCATAACAATGTATGGCAAAAACCACTACAATATTGTAAAGTAATTAGCCTCCAACTAATATAAATAAATGGAAAAAAATAATAAAATTAAAAAAAAATAGGTAGCTAATTTGTGACATCAAATTATTTAATTCTGTGTGAATAACCCCATTTTCTACTTTCATTGAGCAACTTGCCAGGGAGCTGGCATGAGGGCATTTTCCCTAAACTGTCATTAGTTGAAGGTTATAATCAAATTGGTCATGTCTGTGTATTTCTCCTTTTTGTTTTTTAATAAATGTGACACTTTTGCTTCATCTAAAGTCTTCAGTCTCAGATTCATAATTAGCTTGATTTTTATTTGGTTGGCCAAAAAGTTCCTTTAAGTTTTCTGTAACACGTTATGAAAGACCCAGACAAACTTTTTGGCCAACTCATTAGTTAAGGGTGGGAGAAGATTCTATTTTAGCCTAAATATTTCAAGTTTACTTAAGATGTTCTTAGGGTTATCATATGGAACTACATCTGGAATTTATGTCTTATATATACCACTACCACCAATAATAAACATGTTTTGGAGTGAAAACCATAGCCAATATTAGCTCCTTCATCCTATTTAGAATCATTAAGAAGCAAAAGCACATTTCTCTCAAAGGAGAAGCCAAAGGGCCAGAAGACAGGGCAGAAGAAAGGTATTATAAAATGAGGGCAAAAATATTTTTCTAAGTACAAGAAAACACAACTGATCTTAATGCATTAATATATTTTCAATTTTTTGGCTTAAATTAAAAAAAGTATATTCCAATATAATATGGTTTATCAAAGATTTCTCATAGAGAAAAATTATAGGTACTTTGTATAACATGATGGCCAAAACTCAAAAGACCCACTCAGTCTGCTGAATGAAGTCCTACTCAGAATAATCAGCTGCAATTATAAACATAGTTATGCTGTGTAACTGATGTTTTCTACTCTGCTACAGTAGCTTTACATCTATAGAAACAAACACTTGCCTAGATGCTACAAAGAACTCTTGAGAACATGCATTATTTAAAAAAAAAAAACAACCAAAGGCTTAAGCAAAGGTAAAAAGAGAGCAAAGTTGGAAAACAGCTTTACAAATTACAAGGTTTATTTACAGTATGGAGATTTAAAAAAGTAAAATAACACAGAAACAATCAGAACATATATACCTTTTAAGAGATTACTAGGCATACCTCACAAAGAGATGAATCTTGTTGTTGTCCTGGAATAACAGACTCAGAGGATTCACCCTCTTGCTCTTGATGCCCCTATTAGGGTAAAAAAAGATATATTGTGTTTCTAGACTACCACAACAAAATATCAAAATTTATAATGCAATTATGATATGACGCACAAAGATCCATAAATTGGAATGTTTTTACTGACTATAATTTAAGATGAAGGAGGAATTCTACTTCACCATTCTCTATTATGAAAAAAACAGGACTAATTTATTCTACCTAAATCCACTACAAAAAACAAATCAAGCTTTGTTGAACATAATTTTGATCCTTATTCAAATGACATTTTCCCCCAACTGAAACCTGTGTATACAGAGAAACTACTGATGCTTGTTAATTTCAGAGGATAGTCTGATGGTGTTTCTGAAATATTGCGGTTTCATTTTTCTGAAAAAGTTAAAAGATTTGCTATCTGTAATAAAGGTTATTCAACATATAAATAGATAAACTCCTAGAAAAGGTATCCTATAATTTAAAGATCTCATGCTTTTATCTTTGATGAAAAGTAATATGGTATACTGGTTACTCAATAAGTGACCATATTGAATAACATGTTTATTACAAATTAAATAAGGCTGACATATGTTATGAATTGTCTCCAGTGTGTAGGAGTGTATTAGAAGTTAGTAAAAAGCATTAAATAAATATCCAAAATAAAAGCAGGAAGGAAATGCAAAGATATTTAGATTAAAATTTGGTTTACAACTGTGTATTTATGCACAAAGTATGTCAGCCATTTTAAAAAGTCAGGACTAATCACACTACTCACTTTCACAATTCAGAGATGCACTAACAAAGAAGAAGGAAGGAAAGAAGAAAGGGGAGAAAGAGCTCTTAACTAGACCTTAGCATAGTCATTTATAGCAAATTAAAATACATATTGGTAATTATTTAAATAACTATGCTTACTGGGTAGGAAAGAGGATCAGATGGTTGTCGAAAGGGCTCTGAGTCTTCACGTTCATAAATGAGGCCCAACAGTTCTTTGCACTGTTTTCTCCAAGCATCGGGATTACACCTTAAAGACTGTCTTCTGCCTCGGCATTTGACCTGTAGATTTTTAAAGAATTATATTTAAAACTCTTTCCTTAAGTCTTCATTGATTTTTCTCCTGTCTTCCTAATGTTAATATATCTATATAAGATAGAGCACCTGATAGGGCCCACATGGGGTCTCATTGATAAGATGCTCATTATGTTGACCTCGCAAACAAAGAATAAATCACAGTGATCTGTGAGACTGACCAAATTTCCCAAATGGCATCCTGTTATCTCACTGGCGCCTATCTTCTCAAAGTTGCGAGACCACCAGGTTCCAGACCTCTGGCTACGTGACCACCCCTTCAGAGAATTTTTCATTGGTGGGGTATAAGAAGGACTCCGACAGAAAGGGAGAATGCTGGTTCTCCTTAAGAGCCAGTCACCCTCTCTTTTCCCTCTAATAAATTTCCTTTTCTTGCCTGTCTGCCTGGCTCAGTCTCTTTTTGTCTGCACTTGCCTTACAGCACCCATTTAAAAGTTTCTTAGTTTTGATTAAACATCATTCTTCCTGGCAAAAATATAAACAAAAACTAGATTATTATATTCATGGAAACAGCAAGAACTCTAGTATTCTGAATTCTTATTTTGAGAAAATCCAAATCTTAAATTAAACAAAGAGGAACAAATTTTTCCTGTACAAGGGCAATAATTTCAATACCTTAATCTTTGCTGGTAGTTAAGATATTTGACAATGGCACCATGATTTCCTCAAAATAACACCCGAACAATATGTATATTTTTAAAGTAAATTCTTTGTCATCAGAATATACTCTAGCCTTTACTATTTTGATGTCTTTTGTATGCATTCTTTTTCAGTATTTGAAAGGAAAAATTTCCCTTATATATAACAAATGTTTGTCTAATTATCATAGAGTAGAAGTGTGCAGAACAGAGTTAACATAAAAGATCTAAGGCTATCTTTAACAGGCCTTGCTTGTCAGGTTAGCCCTTGATTGATGTCTCGGAACTTGGGACTTGAACTGTTTTTTAGATGATAAAAGTGGTTTACTGTGCCCAAGTTGGTACAATGTTATTTGTGCTGAATACCCACTTTCCTGTACATTTCCGTTGCTTTCCTGCTTTCTGAGAGTCTGGAATCTTGGCATGGACTAGTCAGATGAGGTAGACATAACAAGTTCCCAATAAATTCTTTGGGAACTGAGTCTCTAGTCACTCACATATTGCTACATTTTCATTGTGGGGAAAGAGCGTACTCTGTGTGGCCTTTTAGAGGAGAGAGAGTACATAAGGAAAACTGCACATAGATTCCTCCAGGCTCTGCCAGTATCCTTTTCCCTGTGATCCAGCTGTGTATCTTTACTTTGTCACCGTCATAAACCTTAGCAATGAGTTAACAAGTATACATAGGGCTTCCCTGGTGGTTCAGTGGTAAAGAATCCACCTGCCAACGGAGGAGACACGGGCTCGATCGCTGGGTTGAGAAGATCACCTGGAGAAGGAAATGGCAACCCACTCCAGTATTCTTGCTTGGAAAATCCCATGGATAGAGGACTCTGTCAGGCTAGAGTCCATGGGGTCCCAAAAGACTCAGACACGACTTGGTAACTAAACAACAGCAACAAGTATATATACTAAGTTCTATAAGTCTTTCTACCAACTCTCCAAATTTGTGGAGTTGGTTTTAGGGATCCTTGATGCAGGAAGCTTGAATTTTTTCTTATTAGCAGTTCATTTATCCACTCACCCTTCTTCCAGATGAAGTACCAGGTCCATCTGAATCTAAATCAACCATTTCTGTATCCTAAAAGTAAAAGGGAAGAGTGGGAGAAGATATTGTTATATTTAGTCTTATAAACTAGATAAATGTTTACAAAGAAATGACAAATACAATAATAATTAACTCCCTCATTGAAGCAGGCAGCAAAACAGAGGCTGGAGAAAGATCCACTCTAAACTTCAGCTGCATGCTATATACAAGTTGGAAAATATACTGGGAGAAGAAATAAGCAAGGTTTCTCTTTAACTCACAACAGGAAATGAGGGGGAAAGTACAGTGACTGGTCTCTAAAGTTGTACCTAAGCACTAGTATTTTTTTTCATTTATTTTTATTAGTTGGAGGCTAATTACTTTACAATATTGTAGTGGTTTTTGTCATACATTGACATGAATTAGCCATGGATTTACATGTATTCCCCCTTAAGTACTAGTATTTAAAAAGAAACTTATTTTATACAACATGCTAATCTAATATACTATCATCATGAATTGCTCATGATTAATCTTTTGCTACTTCAAGAAACAAACCTCTTTTCTATAGGGAAAATAAGAATATGTATTAAAAAATAAGATTCAGTGAAGTATCACTCTGAGAGATAGTTTTTTTAATACAAAGAGATAAGTCCCACACACCACTACTAATCTGGTGATGGTGAAGCATATAGGTAATGCCTGCTACTGCTGCTGCTGCTAAGTCGCTTTGGTTGTGTCCGACTCTGTGCGACCCCACAGAGGGCAGCCCACCAGGCTCCCCCGTACCTGGGAGTCTCCAGGCAAGAACACTGGAGTGGGTTGCCATTTCCTTCTCCAATGCATGAAAGTGAAAAGTGAAAGTGAAGTCGCTCAGTCATGTCCGACTCTTCGCAACCCCATGGACTGCAGCCTACCAGGCTCCTCTGTCCATGGGATTTTCCAGGCAAGAGTACTGGAGTAGGGTGCCATTGCCTTCTCCGAGGGAATGCCTAGGAGAATCTAAAAAAATGCTACAAATGAGCTTATCTACAAAACAGAAATAGAGCTATAGGTGTGGAAAATAAACTTACGGCTATCAGGGGTAAAGGGGTGGGATAAATTGGAAGATTGGGATTTACATATACACACTACTATATATATAATAGATAACGAATAAGGATCTACTGTATAGCACAGGGAACTCTATTCAATACTCTGAAATGGCCTATGTGGGAAAAGAATCTAAAAAAGAGTGGGTCTACATATATGTATAACAGATTCACTCTGTTGTATACCTGAAACTAACACAACATTGAAAATCAACTATGAATTTTTTTTCAAAAAGAAGAGAAGTAGCTCACAAGCCATTAGTTTCCCTTTCTGAAGTTGCTGAATTACATTTTAGTTTCATTTTCTATTCTAACCCAGAATGCTACTCTGAGGAGAGCAATATCCATCCATGATATAAACTCTCAATAAAACAGGTATAAAGGGACTGTATCTCAACATAAAAAAGGCCATATATGAAAAACCCACAACTAATTTATAGTTGATTGTAAAAAGCTAAAAGCTTTTCCTCTAAGATAAGGAACATGACACGAATGCTCACTCTTTTATTTTATTTAACATAGTATTGAAATTCTTAGCTGGAACAATTAGTCAAGAAAAACAAAAAAATTAAAATCAAAAAGGAAAAATTGATACGGTCTCTATTAGCAGATGACATGATATTACATATAGAAAAGTCTAAATACTCCACCATAAAACTGTTAGAACTAATCAACAAATTCAGTAAAACTTCAGGATACAAAGCCATCATAGAAAAATAAGTTGTGTTTCTTTACACTAACAATGGACTATCAGAAAGAAAAATTAAGAAAACAATGCCATTTATACTTACATTAAAAAGAATAAAATACTAGGAATAAATTTAACCAAGGAGTTGAAAGATCTGTACACTGAAAACTATAAGACACTGATGAAATAGAATACACAAATAAATGGAAAGATATTACATGCCCACAGCTATGAAATATTAATGCTGTTAAAACATCTGTACTGTTTAAAGCAATATACAGATTCAATGCAAGCCCTGTCAAAACCCCAACAGTAATTTTTGCAGAAATAGAAAAACAATCCTAAAACTCATGTAGAACTACAAAAAAGAATTCTAATAACCATTTTGAGAAAGAAGAATAAAGTTGGAGGCATCACACTTTCTGATACCAAACTGTATTACAAAGTTATTATAATCAAAATGTATGGTATTAACATAAAATATATAGATTAAGGGAACAGAAAGTACACAGAAATAAACCCTGCATATTGGTCGATTAATTTACAACAGAGGAACCAAGAATATAAAATGAAGAAAGGATAATTTCATCAATAAACTGTGCTGGAAAAACTGGATATCCACTTGCAAAAGAATGAAACTGGCCCCCTATCTTACACCATACATTAAACACAACTCAAAATGGATTAAAGACTTGGATATAAGACATGAAACCATAAAACTCCTAAAAGAAAACACAGGGGTAAGCTGCTTGACACTGGTCTTGGCAATGATTTTTTTTGGTTTAACAAAATCGAAAGGTAATAAAAGGCAAAAAAAGCAAAAATAAAAAATTGGGACTACATCAAACCACAAAGCTTCTTCACAGCAAAAAATAACCATCAACAAAATGAGGGCAATATACCAAATGGGATAAAATATTTGCAAATCATATACAGAGAGTTAATACCTAAAATATATAAACAACTTGATAACAGGAGAACACATAACCTAATGAAAGATGCACAGAGAAACTGAATAGACATTTTTACAAAGGAGACATCCAAACGGCCAATAAGTACCTGAAAAGGCACACAACATCTCTGATCATCAGGGAAAAGCAAATAAAAACCACAATGAAACATCACTTCACACCTGTTAGAATGGTTATTATCAGAAAGACAAAAAAATAAGAAGCATTGACGAGGATGTGGAGAAAAGAGAGCCCTTGGGCACTGTTGGTGGGAATATAAATTGGTACAGCCACTATAGAAAACAACATGGTAGTTCCTCAAAAAATTAAAAATAGAACTATTAATACCATATGATCCAGCAATTTCATTTCTGTAATAATAACAAGATATCAAAGATATAAAGTTGCACTCCCATATTCACTGAAGCATTATTCACAATAGCCAAGATATGGAAACAATCTAAGTGTCTGTCAACAGGTAAACAGACAAAGAAAATATGGTGTGTGTATATATATGTATACATATATATGTATACATATATATAGGAATAAATTTAACCAAGGAGTTGAAAGATCTGTACACTGAAAACTATAAGACACTGATGAAATAGAATACACAAATAAATGGAAAGATATTACATGCCCACAGCTATGAAAAATTATATATATAATATATATATTCCTATATATATGTGTGTATATATATGTGTATATATGTATATACACACACATATACACAATGGAATAGTATTCAGTCATAAAAAAGAAGGTAATTCTGCCATTTGTGACAATGCAGATGGAACTTGAGGGCATTTTGCTAAGTAAACTAAGTCAGACAGAGAGACAAACAGCATGGTATCACTTATATGTAGAATTTTTTTTTAAGGTCAAACTCAGAGACAGAATATAGAAAAGTTGTTGGGTAGTGGACTGATGGTGGGAGGGGACAGGGAGAAGGTGGTAAACGGACACAAACTTCTAGCTATAAGTTGAATAAAGTCTGAGAATATAAGGATCTAATGTAAAACATGGTGACTCTAGTTGATAACACTGTATTGTATAACTGCAATTTGTTTAAAGTGTAGAACTCAAATGTTGGAAGGAAGGAAGGGAGAGAAAGAAAAAGAAAAAATAAGCTTGCTGAATTATATTTTACTTTACTTTCCTGTTCTAATCCAAGTTATGTTATTTTGAGGAGAAATGCTTGCTACATCAAATTCTGAGTCAAAATGCATTTATATTAAAGGTTAGAGAAAATATCAGGTATAAGAATAATACATTTTTTATTAGTTTCAGGAAGATAATATCTAATTGGTATATCTGAGTTTTCTTTAATATGTAAATAGCATTTAATTTCAATAATACTTATAACATTTTATAGTCAAACACATTTTTGTGAAATTGAAAAACTATTAGAGATTTACCATTCTGAGAATTAACAGTACAGAAAATATAAACATGTAAAATACCTCTGTATAATCATACCCACTGCAATAAAATCCAGCATATTTGAGTCACTTATCCCTGGGATGAACTGTTTTCCATAAAATATTTTGAATTGTCACTTTCCATTATTGTTTCAGCCTCTTAACCTGGTTTTTGTTTCTATCATGGCCTCTAGTCAAAAATAACTTAATGTAAATTAGGGATATGACTGGGTGGGGAAATAAGATACATGAGGGTCTGGTGACAATACTAATTTCATTTCATTAAGAATAACAGGTTTATGTTTATAAATTTTCACAAAGGAAATCAAATAGCAATTCCATGAAACTACTAAAAATAGAGACTTTCAAGTCTAAAACTATGAAATACTTTAATATTATATATATATACATGTATATATATGTCTGTAGTATAGAAAATTAATCCCTACTAAAGTTTCCATCAACTAACCATTCTTTTAAAACACAGTTTAGTGCTTTGTCCTGTTTTCAAGGGCTGGAAAATAAAGTATTGATTTCTCAACACTGAAACCCACTGTGTCCAAAAGGATGAATGGCCACCTCTCTCTGACCAAACACTGCAGCACCACTACATTTTTGGTATACACTATCTAAATATAGGTTAAAAAGCTTAATACAAAAAGATGCAGGTGTTCAGCGAGCTTTCAGAAATCAGATTCATTGCTAATATCCAGTTACAACACTCACGTATAATACCTAATGTACTTTAAATGACAGAAAAGAAATTAATGCCTATGGTCATGCTGTGATTCTTACCTCCTCTGCATCAGTACTGTTTAGTTCTTCTGCTTTAATTTTATTGTAAGTATCCAGTATATCAGTACAGCTCTGGTCCCTGAGAAACAAGATAAGTTAAAATACACTTCAATAAATTTTAAAAACTCAGAAGTCAGCCTCTATGGAAGATAAAACTGCTTCTTACCCAATAAATCGAAGTAAGACATCAGTTACAATTTTGGCTGCTTTAACTATAGGACTGTCTGGCTCATTGAAAGTCCTAGCATTATGCTCAATATAGCGTACTTCCCACATTAATGCTGATATTCTCCTATGAAAGCAAAAATATCCTGTTACTCTTGGTCGATACATTTAAAATCTATTCTAGAATTAGACAATGTAGAACAACTAGGCATTTAATCATGATGCGTCAAAGGTGTTCAAATACATGTATGTGACTCAATATATCTGTGTGACTAATATGCACCAATAAAAGTATATAGTTACAGTATTTGAAGCATAGAGTTCAGAACCACTGGATTATAAACTTGGATATTAAAACCTGAAAGAGAACTGACCCATGATATTATGGGTAAATAGTGATTTGACCAAACACAAAGAAACAAATAGAAACAAACAGTGCTTTGATAAAGTCAACAAAAAAATGTTTAGTTTTCAGAGAAGACCAAAAATCAAGAAGCCAGGTTGTAGAAAAGGACACATATTTTAACACACTTGCTGTTATAATACACTACTAAAGAAATTATAGGTAATGTTATAAGATACACCCAAATGGTATTATTTATAACAATTTCATGGAATAATTGTTGTTAGGACACAGTAGACTTGAGGGTGAGAGAGAGAACAAAAGCTGCCCTCCACTGCCTCCCCATAATCACATAACTTCCAAAAAAACCAAAGAAAAAAAATAACTTGATTTTTTTTTCTTTACACATTTTGGGGCTGGTGATTAAATCTAATTAACTGCTGCCTAATTTCCCAACAGGGGATTTAAAACATGCTCAAAGACTCTGGAGCACCATAATCAGGATGAATCTACAAACCACTTAATCTGCCTTTAGTAACCTAAAAGTTAACTGTAATTATTGTTTCATATGTGACTTGTACTAGTCATAATTTTCTCCCTGTCCATACTCCTTTTTACCCAGGAAGACTGAGAATCTTCTGAAGGAAAGGAAATCAATTGTTCCAAATTTTCAAAAGAAATTTTGAGGTGGGTCTTCTGAAAACAAAGATCTCAGTGTATCATCATGCAAGAACAAAAGCAAAAGACATAAAGCTATAAGCTTTATAGGAAATGGTAAAAACTAAACAAACCTGTAAAAGCGATTTTCAAGTCTCCGCCTGATGGTGTTGAGGTCAGTTGGATAAGCAACTACAGTACAATACAAGGGGTAGGCACTGAGATCCACTGGAACAGCAAAAGGGCTGGCAAAATCTACAATATTTACAAAATCAGAAAAGATAGTTATAAACAACACTAACATCTCATGTTAACAAACAAAAACCACATATAAACAAGAAGTGTGGGCAATATAAAAGTATATTACTAAAATGAGATGATTAAATCATGCAAAATTAGACCAATACTATTATAATGTTATTCTTTTTATTTGGACATATTATCTATGAATCATGCATGATACACTGGTTCAAATCAGATAAAAACAAGAAAAATTATTGCAGAACTGTTTTTTAACTTCAAATTTATGTCTTTTCTGGATAAATGCCAAATGTCTCCTTCACTATTATAACCCCAGAACTGAAAACGTTTGCAAGTCATTACTTTGGCCAAGCATACAAAAATATTATTAAAACTAGAAGCACTGTGTCTCTTGAGTTAGAAGTATACAGTGAAAAACTGTATTTCCTTTTACAGAACTTAAAAATCTGCTGGTTTTCCTTATTCCTTCTCATCTTCCTAATATTCTTTTCTCATTTTCTTAATATTCTTTCACATTCACCATACCCAGGGAAAGAAGGTGGTTGATTCCCTGAATAACTCGTTCACATTCCTCATCTCTGGAATGAGCCCCCCACTCTCCTTCCTGAGGTTTGTATAGCAAAGCAGTCAGTTCCTCCTGGGACACAGGAACACCAGCACCAACTTCATCTGGAAAGGCAGCTATGCATAAGGTAAAAAATCAGAAATAATTAGTGTTCAGAATAATGTTATTGCCATTCTTTTAGAAAAATTAGAATTCATTTTTTAAAAGCATATTTACTTCCTTCTGGAATTGGCTCCATATCCCAGGGGCTCATCTTTTCTCTCTCATTATTGTCCCAGCTATTGAAAAATAACAAGATACAAATCAAATTCACATGATACTTTTACATACTAGCATAATTTGGAGGACTTCTTGGGGGTGAAATCTGGAAAGGGGCAGTACAATTTCTTTAAAGTATAACTTTGCTTACACAAAGATAACAATAACCCTCTAACAGAGAAAACATGGTCCACTAATATGAAAGTTAGAGAGCCCTAAGCTTATTCTTAGTTCTGTTTTTTTTTTTCTTTTTAATTTCAACCAAGCATACATTCAATGTTAAGCCAGGGTACAGAATAAAAAGATCTGATGGAAAATTCCTTTTAGGCTAAAAAATCAATTTAATACATCACTTATTTCTGTGAGATAACCTGCTTTTTTCTACCAGGTTGAGTATTATAGCTTCTCCAAAAGTTTACAATTCCCTTTTGATCTATAATATGAAGACTAAAAGTCAGTCTTCACAGAATAAACATATGTTTTATCATTCTTAAGAAGAAAGTTTTATTTCTTAGGAATCTTACAACTCTGGTATTTCATGAAGAACAAAAGTAAATGTAGACAAATAATATCAATATATCCAAAAGTAATGCACTCACCCTTGACTAGAACTTATACCATCAAATAAAAGACTATATAAATATTCACTATTATATTCCAGCTTAAACAATTACTTTAAACACTGAATTAGTTTCAGTATTCTTTATGAAATAATAGTTGTAATTCTTATCTAAAATAGAAATATTTAAAAAATAGAATAAAATAGAAATATTCAAGAGAAAACACAAGAATTATGGAGGCAGAAATAAGTATTCAGCTCCTGCTTTGTTTTAGCATGCGTATTGCACCAGAAGGTTTATCATCAAATTCCTTCCTTAAAAGTACTATGATTCCTTCCTTACAGGTACAGGTCTTATAAGACTAGGTAAGGCAGGGTTTATAGAAAGTCCATATAGTACTAAAGTATTTTATCAGATGTAAAAGACCATAACTGTACTTACTGAACACTGTAACACTGGAAAGAACTATCAGGATACTCTGGTTGAAAAGGTTGCTGACTTTCCACAGTCCCAAACCACCAGGCGTCATCTATTATACTGCGGAATCTATCACCTACAATGTTTTTAAAAATTCTTAAAAGAGTGCTCTTGAGCATAATTGCTACATTCCCAGTCTAAACTGTACATGTTGATGAATACAATAGCATCATTGTACCCAGCATTATTACAGATTTCAATATGAGTATTCCATATTACTCTCTTCAAGGATTTTGATTTCCAAGTGCTAATAATTATTATGAAATAAAATCACATATTACCAATATAATTTAACTTCTTTCAATTACTTGGGATCATCATTAGACAGTCTGCTTTTTGTACTGCGCATTTGATACCACAGTTGTTTCTTTTTTTTTCTTCCTCCTATTTTTTGTTTTACCATTTTGTTTCTAAAAATCTCTTCATACTAGTTTTGTGCCTCTAAATGGCTAAGGAATACAAAACCAACCATGCGGATAAAAATGTTTCTTTCACATTAGAAAAGATAGAAGATACTAATAGAAAAAAAAAACTACTAATAGAAGATAACTATACAGTGTTTGCTCTATGGTACATTTTAAGTTCTTTCTACATATTATTTATCATTCATATCAACCTTATATGATATGTATGCTCAGATGTAATTTCCATTTTACAAATAATGGAAGTGAGGCACAGAGATGTTAAAATCGTGCCCAAGATTAAATAGCTAGAGAAGGTGGAAGGAATAGACAGGGAGACAACAGGAGGGGTAAAGAGAGAAAGGGAGAAAAAGGGAGAGAGATGGAAGAGGAAAAAGAGAGAGACAAAGCCACAATCAGTAAAGGTCTGTTAAGAGCCCAAGTGTTAAGCACCCCATGTGAAGGCAATTGAAACTTCAGCATTTCATTTTAATTTAGATTTGCAATCTAATAGAATAGATATTCATAGAAAAGGTTTTGTAACACATACAAAGTATATAAAATCACCTAAACATAACTGAAAAGAAAAATTTAATTTTTCTAATTCGGCTAACAGATTTTTCAGTCTAAAGTTTCTCAATGTTAATTCAGTGTAAAAGTTACTCTGCTTCAAACAATATTTAAGTGGGAATTCTATATTTACCTATCTGCCAGTTCCTTTCTTTGGCTTCATTATAAAACTGATGTAGCACAAGGAAGTCAATGACATCTGGCATGTCATGATACCTGAAGAGAAAATAAAGTACATGTGATTTAGTATACAGATACAACAGTATATGTCACTTTCTAAAAATCCAGGGATATATACGCTTAATGTGGAGCTATTGAGAAAACTGTTGCAAACCTCAAGGTCCTTACAAATGCTTTTAATTAAATTAAACACCATGTGTTTGATGTTTGTCTTAAATATTTACTTATGACTTTAAATCACTAGCTACATACTTTTATCCTATCTTGTAAGACTGTTATGCCTTTTAAAGTATTACAGGGAATATTTTCCATTCAGATAATTTTGTAAAGACATAAATTAATGGACATCTGAAGGTGCAATGTCTGGTGAATACAGTGGATGAATCAGAACTTTCCAGTGTCTGGTCATCAATGGAACATGTGGTCTTGAGTTATCCTGATGGAAAATTATGCGTTTTCTGCTGACTAATTCTGGAAGCTTTTTGTCACGTGCTGCTTTCAGTTGGTCTAATTGGAAGTAGTACCTGTTGGAATTAATCATTTGGTTTTCTGGAAGGAGCTCATAATCCCCTTCCAATTCCACTATATGTACATCACCTTCTTTGGAATGAAGACCAGCCTTTGGTGTGGTTGTGTAATAGTTCATTTCACTTGCCCCATGATCTCTTCCATTCCACATTATTGTACACTATCTACTTTTCATCATCTGTCCTAATTTATTTCAAAAACAGAATATTTTTGCTTTGTTTCAGTAGAGAATCACACGCAGAAATACAGTCAAGAAGGTTTTTTCACTTAAGTGGAACCCAAACATCAGAGTGATTAATTACCAAGCTGGTGCAAACAATTTTCAACACTTAATTTGGATATTTTGAGAATGTTGGCTATTTCCTGTGTGGTATAACTTTGACTGTCCTCAATTAATGTCTGAATTTGATCACTATCAACTTCAACTCATCTACCCGACCATAGAGCATTGTCCAGCAAGAAATCTTCAGAACAAAACTTTGCAAACCACATTTGATATGTTTGATCAGTCACAGCACCTTCTCCATATACTGCACAAATCATTTTTCTTTTTTTGTGTCTCAGTTGTTTTTACCTTTCTTGAAACAGTAAAGTATCACATGCCAAAAATGTTCCTCTTTTTCTTCCATCTTCAATATTATAATGGCTACACAAAAATTCACGTTTGATTTTTTTTGTTTGTTTAATGCTCACTGATATGACAGCTGTCACAATACAACCTAACAAAACTGTTCTGAATGAAGTTAAAGACAATGAGAGTCATCTTATGGAAAAAAACAAAAGAACTCGGGCTATCCCAATAAAAGAATCAAGTCATGAGCCACTGTAGTTGTTCACCTGAACAGCTCACCCTGAAAGGAATTCAAGATGAAGCATTCTGTGTTTTGGATATATGGACTCTTAGATAATTAAGATGCATATGTAAGGAAGAATTTCAATGACCCTGGACTCTTGCATCTTTCCATATATAGAAGACTAAAATCACTGAGATATCTGATCCTCATGACTACCAATAACTAGCAAGATGTATGCTCAACTATATGTATTCCCCAGCGAAAAAAAATTCAAATATACCCTGGCTCTGCCCCTGCTACCTCTTGAGGACATCTTGTCAGAGATGTCTAAGGCTATCTCCCAGACTGCAGTCCTCAGTAAGCTCCCAAATAAAACTGAAACCCATAGGTCTCATGTTGTATGTTTTTATTTCAGTTGAGATACATATATATATGTGTGTGTGTGTGTGTATATATATATATATATATATATATATATATAGTGTGCATGCTAAGTCGCTCAGTCATGTCTGACTCTTTGAGACCCTATTAAGTGGAAAAACAAAACAAGAATTAAACATTAAACCATGGTCTTTAAGACACTAAAGCCCGTAGTGCTGTCATGTTTTCTTTACCATCAAGAATACATGTTAGGAATTAAAAAACACACACACACACATGATCCAGCATAGATACTCACTTAATGGAAAAAGATTCTCCAGTCATTTTGCCTGAAATGGGGTCCAGAAATGCAAGCTTCAAGCAGCATAGTGTAGGTGGTCCAACCTCATATTTGATTCCTACAATCTTAACAAACTCTTGTTCCTATTCATGAGAATACCAAAAAATTATTAATTTCAATATAAATAATTGCCTAATATTTGCATATTATTTCATTATTATTTGAACAATTTAAAAATTATCTGAAACACATTGTAAATCTACTATACTCCATTAAAATTTTTTAAATTATCTGATAAATTTTATTTTAAAAATTATTAAATTTTAAAATTATCTGAATACCCACCAGATTTGAGGCATTCCACTAAGTGTTAAAGGTAATAAGACATGGCTTTTGACCCCTTAACAGCAATTTGTAGTTTAGTGCATGGCTCTAAACCAAGGATAAGCAGAAGAATCCCCTTGGTAATCTTGTTAAAATTCATGTTCCTAAACCATACTACTAAGGAACTGAGTTCACTATGTCTAGGGTAAAGCTCAGTCATATGTATTTTGAACAAACTCCCCAGGTTTTCCTCTGGAGAGTTGTTTTCTGCTGGTTAAGAATCACTCCTCTAGTCACTACTTCTCCCTTGGACTCCTTGGTAGTCTGTTGGTGTGAAATCTCTGTGGCCGATCCCTCACCTCCTCAAGTCCCACAGAACCCTACAAGTTTCATTCATGTGTGAGTGCATCTTAATTCACATTGGCCAGGCTGGTGTCCAGACTGGCAATGCCTATTGGGAGCTCTACTGATTTTAACATGGCATCTAGCCTGATGGCCAGATGTCAAATGATAAAACCACTGGAAGAGGAAAAGACTCCTTCAACACCTTGTTCAGTGAGACAGACACTGGCAAGCATGTGCCCAGGGAAGTGTTTGTAGACCTGGAACCCACGGTCACTGGTGAAGCTGGTACTGGCACCTACTGCCAGTTCTTCCACTCAAAGAAGCTCATCAAGGCAAGGAAGATGCTGACAATAACTATATTCTCAGTCACTACATGTTTGGCAAGAAGATCATTGACCTCGTCTTGGACTGAATTCAGAAACTGGCTGACCAATGCAAGGTCTTTAGGGTTTCTTGCTTTTCCACAGCTTTGGTAGGGGAACTGGTTCTGGGTTTACCTTCCTGCTGTTGGAACATCTCTCTGTCAATTATGGCAAGAAGTCCATGCTGGAGTTCTCCATTTACCCAGCTCCCAGGTTTCCACAGCTATAGTTCAACCCTACAACTCCACCCTCACCAACCACACCACCCTGGAGCACTCTGTATCTTCACGGTAAACAATGAGGCCGTCTATGACATCTGTCGTAGAAACCCTGATATTGAGCACCCAATCTACACTAGTCTTTAATTGTCTCATAAGCCAACAAGTAGTGTCTTCCATCATTAGTTCCCTGAGATCTGATGGAGCCCTGAATGTAGATCTGACAGAATTACAGACCAGGGATAGTACCCTATCCCTGCATCCACTTCCTTCTGGCCACTTATGCTTCTGCTATCTCTGGTGAGAAAGCCTAAAATGAACAGCTTTCTGTAGCAGAGATCACCAATGCTTGCTTTGAACCAGCCTACCAGATGGTGAAATGTAACCCTCACCAAGGTAAATACATGGCTTGCTGCCTGTTGTACCGTGGCGACATGATTCCAAAAGATGTCAGTGCCACCACTGCCACCATCAAGACCAAGTGCAGCATCCAGTTTGTGGACTGGTGCCCCACTGAATTCAAAGTTGGCATTAATTACCAGTCTCCCACTGTGCTACCTGGTGGAGACCAAGCCAAAGTACAGCGAGCTTTGTGCATGCTGAGGCCTGGGCTCACCTGGATCACAAATTTGACCTCATGTATGTCAAGCTTGCCTTTGTACACTGGTATGTGGGTGAGGACATGGAGAAAGAAGAGTTTTCTGAGGCCCATGAGGACATGGCTGCCTTTGAGAAGGATTATGAGGAAGTTGCAGTGCATAGGGCTGAGGAAGAGGATGAGGTTAGAAAATATTAACCTGTCTACAATAATTTTACACTCTTGGGATTGTCTTATTTGTGTTCTGTGGAGCTGCCCATTGTGGCCCTATCTTGTCAATAATATTAAATTCTATTGATAACTCTACTAAAAAAAATCATTCCTCTAGCAGAAATACAGTCTGTAATTAGGCAGGTGGACATGTTATGTATATGACTGGGGAAAGGACATACAATTTTGAGTGCTACAATATTATTTTAAATACCATCCTTAAACACTGTTATTAGTCACACTTAATGATGACAAAACAGAGCCTTGTGGGTACAGTGATGTTTTTAGAGTTACACATTTGTATATAGCAGAGCTGGGATTGAAATTCAGATCCAATTCCTAAGTCCAGGGTCTTATACCACAAGTAAGTTGACTTCTAAAATTTCCTATAACCACAGGGTTAGAATTTAAAATAAGAAATCACATAGGCTCAGTGAACTGCTGCTGGATGCCCAGTAGGCCAGGCTGAGCACTAGGAAATGGCCTTCCTTGGGAGTCAGCATGGTCCTGACCCCACCACAACCTTGGTGACCCGAGGCGTCCAACTTGCGGGCACTGGGTCCAATGCCACTCAGTCCGAGGATGTGGCTCCATGAGGCTGTGGCCTCTGGGCTATGAAGACAAACCCTATACATCCCAGTGACAGAAACACCCCATGAGGGTGCGTCCTCTCCTCCTGTTAGTATTTATTTTAGCACTTTGTTAATGTGGTGTTTTATTTTCTACCTATTGCACTGTTGTGACCTGTTGGCCATTATTTGATTTTTGTATGAAAAAAAGCTTTGTTACAGAAATCAGCATACTATTTTTTAAACCTGGAGAGAAGGTATTATGGTGACTGAAAGTGTGGTCAGGTGTCAAGTATAAATGTATAAAAGCCAAAAAAAAAATACAGTTTATTCATTCCTATAATTCTAAGAAAAAAAAAATCTTATTTTTCACCCAATTCACAATAGATGGTAGCACCCCTATTTCCCAAGAAATGATTATGTAAAGCTCACTTGGTATTTTGGCACCTTATAGCCTTAATACAATTTTTACAAGTGCCTAAATCTTTATTTCAATAAATACACACATTCTCTCTTCTATCCTTCCTGTTAAGCATCATTACAAAACAACTAAAGAATGTGCTAATCATTGGACAATTGCACGCATCTCCCATACTAGTAAGGTCATGCTTAAAATCTTGCAGGCTAGGCTTCAAGCATTATGTGAACCAAGAACTTCCAGATGTCCAAGCTGGATTTAGAAAAGGAAGAGGAACCAGAGACCAAATTGCCAACATTCACTGGATTATAGAGAAAGTCAGGGAATTACAAAAAAAAAAAAACATCTACCTCTGTTTCAGTGACTATGTCAAAGCTTTTGACTGTGTGGATCATAATAAACTGTGGAAAGCTCTTAAAGAGATGGGAATACCAAACCATCTCACCTGTCTCCTGAGAAACCTGTATGCGTGTCAAGAAGCAACAATCAGAACCCTGTATGGAACAACTGATAGGTTCAAGATTGAGAAAGGAGTACAACAGGGCTGTCTGCTGTTACCCTCTTAGCATAATCTATATGCTGAGCACATCATGAGAAATACCAGGTCGGATGAGTTACAAGCTGGAATCAAGATGGGCGGGTAAACATCAACAACTTCAGATATGCGGATGATACCACTCTAATGGCAGAAAGTGAAGAGAAACTCATGAGCCTCTTGATGAGGGTGAAGGAGGAGAGTGAAAGAGCTGGCTTAAAACTAAATATTAAAAAAACTAAGAGCATAGTATCCAGCCCCATTACTTCATGGCAAATATAGGGGAAAGGTGGAAGTAGTGACAGATTTCCCCTTCTTGGGTTCTAAAATGATTGCGGATGGTGACTGCAGCCATGAAATCAGAAGAAATTTGCTTCTTGACAGGAAAACTATGACAAACCTAGACAGTATGTTGAAAAGCAGAGACATTACTCTGCTGACAAAGGTCTGTACAGTCAATGTTATGATCTTCCCAGTGGTCATGTACAGTTATGAGAGCTGGACTAAAAAGAAGGTGGAGAACCAAAGAATTGATGCATTCAAACTACTCCTGAGAGTCCCATGGACAGTGAGGAGATCAAACCAGTCAATATTAAGGGAAATCAACCCTGAATACTCATTGGAAGGACTGATGCTGAAGTTGAAATTCCACTATTTTGGTCATCTGATGTGAATAGCTGTCTCACTGGAGAAGTCCTTGATGCTGGGAAAGATCAAGAGCAGAATGAAAAGATGGCATCAGAGGATGAGATGGTTGAATGGTATCACCAATACAATGGACATGAACTTGGGCAAAGTTTGGGAGATGGTGAGGGATAGAGAGCCCTGGCATGCTGCCATCGTCCATGAGGTCACAAAGAGTTGGACACGACTGGGTGACAGAACCTCAAAGTTACAAGTTTCTTAGGATTTATGATATTTACTATATTCTAAAGCTGCCAGAATCTTGAGGGTGTCTGTGGTCCACACATGCAGTCAATTTATAGAGCCTCCAGAAACTACAAAGCTGCTAAGGAAAATATCCATACCATAGAACTACTGCACTGCTCCAAGTATATGGTATACACCAGAGAACCTGAAGCTTGAAGGAAATTAGGTCAAATAATCAAGAAAACAGATGGCATACAAATTCCAGGAAACAAAATGCGGCCCACAACATTCAGCTGTACATGAGTATGGTACATCACCTTATCCTGAACATATAATCAACACTGAAATATCCAGAAACTGAGAATAAGCATACAGGAAAGAAACTTAATTCCAAGATACTTCAAGTGCATAGCTTATTAATTTGACAAACTTACCCTGAGATCCATTTTATTCCATGGCTGTTTTTGTAAATTAACGCTGTATGTTTTTGATTTTCTTACAGCCCGTACATAAGCTTCATGTCCTTGCCTAAAATATATAAGCTAAAACAAAAAAGAATGAGTTATTAAACAGCAGCATCCCATTTAACCACTCTATACTACCCAATATATTCCCACAAATGTCCTCTTTTATTAACAAAAAATATAATTATAATTTTGAAAAAAATATACAATAAAGTTACTTGTCAGCGTCAAATAATGTTCATTCAGTACTTATGCCTATGCAGCCCTGCACTAAGCACTGCATAATAAAAACAGAGAGAAAGTGAAAGTTGCTCAGTCATGCCCAACTCTTTGAAACCCCATGGACTATACAGTCCATGGAATTCTCTAGGCCAGAATACTGGAGTGGGTAGCCTTTCCCTTCTCCAGGGGATCTTTTCAACCCAGGGATCAAACCCAGGTCTCCTACATTTCAGGTGTATTCCTTACCAGCTGAGCCACCAGAGAAGCCCAAGAATACTGGAGTGGGTAGCCTATCCCTTCTCCAGGGGATCTTCCTGACCCAGGAATTGAACCGGGGTCTCTTGCATTGCAGGTGGATTCTTTACCAACTGAGCTATCAGGGAAGCCCAAAAACACAGTCCTCCTCCATAAATTTCTGAAGAAACAGACTAATGACAAATGTACACAAAAGCAGTCATCTTTTAAAATAATATATTTCAAACTATAATTGACATTCTAAAACATCAACATCTTAATAGTGAGCCTAAGTATGTGTGTGAATACACACATTTGTTGTTGCTGTTTAGTCGCTAAGTCTTGTCTGACTCTTTTGCTACCCCATGGATTGTAGCCCACCAGGCTTCTCTCTCCGACCCCATGAACAACTGTAGGCCACCAGGCTTCTCTCTCCATGGGATCTTCCTGGCAAGAATACTGGAGTGGGTTGCCATTTCCTCCTACAGGGAATCTTCCCAACTCGGGGACTGAACCTGTGTCTCTTTTGTCTTCTGCACTGACACAGGGGGAGATCTTTACCACTGAACCACCTAGGAAGTCTCTCTCTCTCATATATATATATATATATATATATATAAAGTGTGTGTGTGTGTGTGTGTGTGTGTGTGTGTGTGTGTTAAAGTTATTCAGTCATGTCCAACTCTTTGCTATCCCATGGTCTGTAGCCCTGTCCATAGAATTCTCCAGGCAAGAATACTAGAGTGGAAAAATTAGAAAGAGAAAAGGAAACAATCCCTTTCACCATTGCAACAAAAAGAATAAAATACTTAGGAATAAATCTACCTAAAGAAACAAAAGACCTATATATAGAGAACTATAAAACACTGATGAAAGAAATCAAAGATGACACAAATAGATGGAGAAATATACCATGTTCATGGATCAGAAGAATCAATATAGTGAAAATGAATATACTATACAAAGCAATCTATAGTTTCAATGCAATTGCTATCAAGCAACCAATAGTATTTTTCACAGAACTACAACAAACAATTTCACAATTTGTACGGAAACACAAAAAACCTTGAATAGCCAAAGCAATTTTGAGAAAAAAGAATGGAACTGGGGGAATCAAGCTTCCTGACTTCAGACTATATGACAAACATACAGTCATCAAGACAGTATGATACTGGCACAAAGGCAGAACTATAGATCAATGGAACAAACTAGAAAGTCCAGGGAGAAATCCGTGCACCTATGGCCCCTTATCTTTGACAAAGGAGGCAAAAATATACAATGGAGAAAAAACAATCTCTTTAACAAGTGGTGCTGGGAAAACTAGTCAATCATGTGTAAAAGAATGAAACTAGAACACTGTCTAACACCATATACAAAAATAAACTCAAAATGGAGTAAAGATCTAAATGTAAAGCCAGAAACTATAAAACTCTTAGAGGAAAACATAAGCAGAACATTCTCTGACATAAATCACAGCAAGGTCCTGATTTTATTTATGGAAAAAGAAACAAAAATTAACAAATGGGACCAAATTAAACTTAAAAGCTTTTTCACAACAAAGGAAACTATAAGCAAGGTGAAAAGACAGCCTTCAGGATGGGACAAATAGTAAATGAAACAACTGACAAAGAATTAATCTCCAAAATTTACAAGCAGCTCATGCAGCTCAATACCAGAAAAACAAACAACCCAATCAAAAAGTGGGCAAAAGACCTAAACAGACATTTCTCCAAAGAAGACATAAAGATGTCTAATAAACACATGAAAAGATGCTCAACATCACTCATTATCAGAGAAATGTAAATCAAAACCACAATGAGGTATCATCTCATGCTGACCAGAATGGTCACCATGAAAAAGTCTACAAACAACAAATGCTGGATAGGGTGTGGAGAAAAGGGAACCCTCTTACACTGTTGGTGGGAATGCAAACTGGCACAGCCAATATGGAGAACAGTATGGAGATTCCTTAAAAAACTGGAAATAGAACTGCCATATGACCCAGCAATCCCACTGCTGGGCATACACATCAAGGAAACCAGAACTGAAAGAGACACACATACCCCAATGTTCATTGTAGCACTATTTACAATAGCTAGGACATGGAAGCAACCTAGATGTCCATCAACAGACGAATGGATAAGGAAGTTGTACATACATATACACAATGGAATATTACTCAGCTATAAAAAAAGAACACATTTGAGTCAGTTCTAATGAGGTGGATGAGACTGGAGCCTATTATACAGAGTGAAGTAAGTCAGATAGAGAAATACCAATACAGTATATTAACGCACATATATGGAATTTAGAAAGATGATAATGATGATCCTATATGCTAGGCAGCAAGAGAGACACAGATGTAAAGAATAGACTGTTGGACTATGTGGGAGAAGGTGAGGGTGGGATGATATGATAGAATAGCATTGAAACATGTATATTACCATATGTAAAACAGATGACCAGTGCAACTTTGATTCATCAAGCAGAGCTCTCAAAGCTGGTGCTCTGGGACAATCCGGAGGGTTAGGGTGAGGAGGAAGGTGGGAGAGGGGGTTCAGGATGGTGGGACACATGTGCACCTGTGGCTGATTCATGTCATTGAATGGCAAAAACCACCATAATATTGTAAAGTAATTATTCTCCAATTAAAAATTATTAAAAAAAAGAATATTATTGTGGATAGCTATTCCCTCTTCCAGGGGATCTTTCCAACCCAGGGATTGAACCAGGGTCTCCTGCACTGTAGGCAGATTCTTTTATCATCTGAGCAACCAGGGAAGCCTGTCTGTGTGAGTGTATACCACAGTCTACTACTAAATACAGTAATTTCCAAATTAAAATTTTTCTTTTTCAGAAGTTAACATCAGAATTGGCATGGTATGAAAGAAAAATTAATCCAAGTGTTTAATAAAACCCTTCGCCTCCTAAGACAGCATTCACTACCATATAAATTCATTAAAAAAGTTTCCTTCCCATAATAATTATTTTTTCAACCTCACACCCTACTGCAGGTTTGAATCACCTCCCAACCACAAAAGTCTTAGTTTCCTTTAAAGCTACAAATACTAGATCTGACTAAACAATCAGCAAACATTTCACGAGTGTCACCCTGGATACAGCTTATTGTCCCAAGCATGTACCCACCAGGGTAGAACAATGCCAGAGTGAATAGCCTAGCACAGTATTGGTCCTTGCACGGTATTCGTCCTCAAATACCCCTGGGGGCATACCTGAGAAGCTAAAGGTCAGCTTGCACGTAGAATAGGTAAGTAGTTCTACCCTTCTTGAACACGTAGCTACTCCCAAACAGCAGACATATTTTGGAGGAGTTTTTCCCACTCTACTTCCTTGATTTATTATTACTCCAAACACCTCACAATCATTACACAGAGGTAACTCTGGGGACAGGGAAAAAGTCAGGAGACCTGACTGCTGTTGGTGCTACCTTTATAGGCCATGTGACTCTGGTCTTTCACATGCTCACCTATCAAATGAAGAGAACACTCTGCTGCCAGGTGTGTTTTAAAGATTAATAACAAGAGGTAGAGAAGAATGCTTCAGGTACTATCCTAAATGCCTTACAAATATCCATTAATTATTCTCAGAACCCGATAAGGTAGATACCTTTTATCGCCATTATACAGTTGAGGAAACTAGGGCACAGAGAGATTAAGTAATTGGTCAAAAATTGGTCAAAATCTTATGGTTCATGCACCTCAATGTTCACTGCAGCACAACTTACAATAGCCAGAACATGGAAGCAAAGTAAATGCCCATCAACAGTGGAATAGATTAAGAAGATGTGGTACATATATACAACAGAATATTAACCATTTATAAAAAAGAATGAAATAACGCCATTTGCAGCAACATGTATGAACCTAGAGATCATACTCAGTGAAGTAAGTCAAACAGAGAAAGGCAAATATCATATCACTTATTTGTGGAATCTAAAAAAGATACACATGAGCTTATTTATAAAACAGAAGTAAAGTCATGGATACAGAAAACAAACTTATGGTTATCAGGGATAAGAAGGAAATGGATAAATTGGGAGATCAGGACTGACATATACATACACTATATATAATATAGATAACTAATAAGAACCTGCTGTATAGCACAGGAAATACTATTCAGTACTCTGTAATAGCCTATATGGAAAAAGAATCTGACAAGAAAAGTGGATATATGTATATGTATAACTGATTCACTTTGCTGTACACTTGAAGCTAACACAACATTGTACATCAACTATACTCCAATAAAAATTTTTAAAAAGTAAAAAAAAAAAACCTTATGTTTCTACAATAATTTTAAAGTGGTGGTAGAGGTAAATAGAAGAAAGTAACACAAAAAATACCATACTATGGACATTTCTAAAATACTCTGACATATATCTATCAACACTGTCTAAGTCAGAATTTCTAATAGTTAAAAATACAGGTAAAATTTTTAAAGGTTTAAATATTAGCATACAAACACAGGGGCTTCCCTGGTGGGTCAGATGATAAAGAATCTGCCTACAATGCCAGAAACTCAGGTTCAATCCCTGGGTCAGGAAGATGCCCTGGAAAACGGAATGCCTACCTACTCCAATATTCTTGCCTGGAGAATTCCATGGACAGAAGAGCCTGGAAGGCTATAGTCCATGGGGTCACAAAGAGTGAGACACAACTGAATGACTAACATATATACACACATAAACACGACCACAGTGGTTAAGAAAAAAAGTCATTACCATGCTTACCAATAACATGATAAGCATGTTATTCAGTTATCCTTTATTATTTATTTCTGTACTCAACAAATATTGAACAAATATATATGTATGCACAAGGCACATCATCAAAATAAAATCTTTTCCCTCAAGGATATGGACAGAAGTGTAGATATACAATGCACAGCAGAAAGTAATAGGTATCATGAGAGAAATAATTTAGATGGGAAAGTTCATGAAGAAGGCGTGGAAGCAAATGGAAAGTAGGGACAACACGCAGAAGAAGTTGGTATTTAAGTTAAACCTTGAAAAATGAGCACTTTGAGAGGTAATGATGTGTGGGTAGGGATATTCCAGGCAAAATAATGAAGACTTAACATTTAAAAAATAATGCTGTCATTAAGAGAATGATTATATAAAAAGTATATTTCTGCCTTTATGAGTTCTTTAAAAACATTCTTTAATTCACACATTTCATTGCTTGATTCACTTACACACCTTTCTGATTACCTGAACAACTGTCATTACCTAACACACATTAATCTTGAAACATATAAGCATGTGCTAAGTTTAATAAAATAGAAGGAAAGGTAAATGCATTCCTATAAAAGAGAAAGGGGTCTCAGATCACAGAGTATACAGATCCTTATTCTGTTCTAAGATTAATTCAAAAATATTTCTCTTAAGCTCCCATATAAAAGGCAATAAATACAAGAAACTTGATTTTGGATATGCTCCTAAAAAGCTCTTCTAACTTTTTTCATACAACATTCCTTCAGAGCACGTTTTACTAAAATAACCACACAAACAAGCATTGCTCAAAAGTCCAACACTTATAAAAAAACACACTTAGGCAAGGAGACATTTTAATAAAATCAAAACATAGTCAGCAAGTAATAGCTTAATTGTAAGGTTACTTCACAGCTGTCTCTCAAAGTACTTATAAAAGACAATTATAGAAATGTTTGGTGAAATTGTTATATGGCCCAAGACATTGAGAACCATTTCCAAGGTTTTGCTCCTTCTTTGTTACAATGATAGTATTGCATTCCTACTATTGGTCTTAAATTGAAAACTGTGGGTAAACAATTAATGATTCAAAAATGAATGATTAGTCAATGTATCAGAAACTATACAAGTCAACTAGGGCTCAAAATATAATAATGCTACCATAATTTTTACAAGAAAATCAAGTTTTGTCACTGTATAGAATTTAAATCAACTTTTGACTGACCAATCATAAATATGGCTGTTACTCGATCATAGGTTCAGTAGGAAGGCCTTGTTTGTGAAATAACATTCTCCCGAGCAATGAAATGGGTGATTATCCGCTATAATACTTTCTATCAGGTTGACTATCGGCTTCTTTAAAAAAAATATTAGGACTTGATTAGGATTCAAACACACTGACAATGAAAAATCAGAAAGAGAAATTAAGGAATCAATCCCATTTAGTACTGGAACAAAAAGAATAAAATATCTAGGAATAAACCTACCTAAGGAGACAAAAGAACTGTATACTGAAAACTGTAAGACACTGATGAGAGAAACCAAAGACAACATAAACAGATGGAGAGAAACTCCATGTTTCTGGGCTGGAAGAATCAATATTGTGAAAATGACTATAGTACCAAATGCAATCTACAGATTCAGTGTGATCCCTATCAAATTACCAATGGCATTTTTTTACAGAACTAGAACAAAAAAATTTCACAATTCATATGGAAACACAAAAGATCCTAAACAGCCAAAGCAATCTTAAAAAAGAAGAATGGAGCTGGAGGAATCAACCTTCCTTACTTCAGATACTACCACAAAGCTACAGCCATCAAGACAGTATGGTACTGGCACAAAAACAGAAATACAGACCAATGGAAAAAGATAGAAAGCAGACAGATAAGCCCATGCACCTATGGGTACCTTATTTTTGACAAATGAGGCATGAATATACAATGGGACAGAGATAGCCTCTTCAGTAAGCGGTGCTGGGAAAACTGGACAACTATTTGTAAAAGAGTGAAATTAGAACACTTTTTAACACCATACACAAAGATAAACTCAAAATGGATTAAAAACCTAAATGTAAGACCAGAAATGATTAAACTCTTAGAGGAAAACATAGGCAGAACACTGTATGACATAAATCACAGCAAGGTCTTCTATGACTCACCTCTTAGAGTAATGGAAATGAAAAACAAAAATAACAAGTGGTACCTAATTAAACTTAAAAGCTTTTGCATAGCAAAAGAAACTATAAACAATGTGAAAAGGCAACCCTCAGAATGGGAGAAAATAATAGCAAATGAAACAACTGACAAATGATTAATTTCCAAAACATAAAAGTGGCTCATACAACTCAATACAAGCAAAACCAACAATCCAATCAAAAAGTGGGCAAAAGACCTAAACAGATATTTCTCCAAAGCACACAAATAGATGGATAACAAACACATGAAAAGATGCTCAACATTGCTCATTATTAGAGAAGTGCAAATCAAAACTATAAAGGGATATCACCTCACACTGGTCAGAATGGCCATCATCAAAAAGTCTGCAAACAACAAGTGCTGGACAGGGTGTGGAGAAGAGGGAACCCTCTTACACTGTTGGTGGGAATGCAAACTGGTACAGCCACTATGGAGAACAGTAGGGAGATTCCTTTAAAAACTAGGAATAAAACCACCATATGAGGCAGCAATACCACTACTATGCATATACCCTGAGGAAACCAAAATTGAAAAAGACACATGCACCCCAATGTTCACTGTAGCACTATTTACAATAGCTAGAACTTGGAAGCAACCTAGATGTCCACTGGCATATTAATGGATAAAGAACCTGTGGTACATATATACAATGGAATATTACTCAACTATAAAAAGCAAAGAATCTGAGTCAGTTCTAATAAGGTAGATGAACCTAGGATGAACCTGTTATACAAAGTGAAGTAAGTCAGAAAGAGAAAAGCAAATATCATATACTAAGACATATTTATGAAATCTAGAAAGATGGTACTGATGGAACTCAAACCAGGGTTCTGTAACAACCTAGAGGGGTGGGGTGGGGAGGGAGATGGGAAGGAGGTTCAAGAGGGAGGGGATATATGTATACCTATGGCTGATTCATGTTAATATTTGGCAAAAATCAACACAATTCTATAAAGCAATTATCGTTCAATAAAAAATAAGTAAATATTAAAAAAATATTAGGACTTGATTAGGATTCGAAATACCACTCAATTCAACTATGTGGCAATTAAGATAAAAACAAAGACAATTATGTTCATGGCATCACAAACAAATAAATTTATCTCAATGTTCATTGAGCATACACTAAATTAAAGACTCTGTGTCAGGTCCTACAAAGGACACAAAAATCAGTAAGATTCAGTCACTGTACACAAGAAATATATAATTGAGCAGCACACTTAAGATGGCATATATATAACTAATAGAATTGAGAATATAAATAACCTAAGACTGATTAAAGTGAGTGTTCTTGAGATTACAAGAGAAAAATGTTACAATAGGAAACAATTACCTCATCTCCCATCTGTGGGACAAATGGTGAACGTCGTGGTATGGTATCTAAGATCCACTGAGGGGCAAACCATTCTTCATTGGGCTCTCCTGCCATAGAAACTAGTCCTCCTTTCTAAAATATGGTTCACAAATATATAAAGTTTAATATATGAACAGTCACAGGAAAAAATCAAAAGTAGAAAATGGTAAAAAAATATCAGGTTATAATAAAACAAAATATATACATTTTAAACATTTAATTTACCAATTAATTACGTACAACTTCTGTACCAATAAAACAGTCAAGTGACTAACATGCTGCTCAATTTTGGTTGACAGATAATATGACACTATATACTATATAAAAACCATAAATGTTACTCTTCATGTCCCTAGTATATCATATGAATTCAAACACAAGTAACACAGTAACTTTTTGCTAATAAAATAGTGACCATCAAGAAGATAATTATCTACTAAAGCAAGAAGTTAGAGCATGCACACAGAATACATATTTAAATTAGTATTCAAAGAATTATGTGGATTAAGTTTTTATATCATCCAAATGAAATTATAGTGGAGAAAAATCCATTACTGGAGTGAAATAAAAACACAAAGAAATATAAGAGCCCTACAGGATTTACAACATCCTTCCATTTTACAAGTTAACAATGTATAGAAATGTATTACTTGTAACATTGACAAGAATAATCCTTTGATACTATAGTAGCTTATTTAAAACTCTACTACATTTTAACAAACTGTCAATATGTTTTAATTTAATAATGAAAATAATGAAAATATTCTAGCCTCTACTTTTGAAAAATTTCAAAAGGTCTTTACATTTCAAAGTCATTATATACAATTTTACTTAGTTTCTCAGATGGGATAGTATTTTTAGAGAAAACTGAAGTGTTATTGCTAAATATTTAAGTGAAAGAAAGTTAAAGTGTTAGTTGCTCAGTCATGCCCAACTTTTTGTGACCCCATGGACTGGGGTTCAACAGGCTCCTCTGTCCATGGGATTCTCCAGGCAAGAATTCTGGAGTGGGTAGCCATTCCCTTCTCCAGGGTGTCTTCCCCACCCAGGGATCAAATCCCAGTCTCCTGCATTGCAGGCAGATTCTTTACCATCTGGGCCACTGTGCTATATGCTTAGTTTGACTCTTTGTGACCCCATGAACTGTAGCCCACTAGGCTCCTCTGTCCATGAGGATTCTCCAGGCAAGAATACTGGAGTGAGCTGCCATGCCCTCCTTCAACGGATCTTCCCAAACCAGGGACTGAACCCAGGTCTCCTGCAGTGTAGGTAGATTCTTTACCGTCTGAGCCACCAGGGGAACCCAGGAATATTGGAGAGGGTAGCCTATCCCTTCTCCAGGGGATCTTTCTGACTCAGGAATTGAACTGGGGTCTCCTGCATTGCAGGTGGATTCTTTACCAGCTGAGCTACCAGGGAAGCCTATATGAGCCACTAGGGAAGCCCAAATATTCAAATATCAAAAGAAAAAAAAACCAAAAAACAAAAATACCCTGTAAACTCACAAACCTTCTTTCTAGTCTGTTTAGGTTTCTTCTGCCTTTCTTCAAGTGACTTCAAATTTTCCTCCTCAGAGCTGCTGCATATTTTCTGTGTTGCCTGTCTTGTTTGCCTTTTTGGAGGTTGCAAATTTATTCCAGCATCTGCTGTCCAATCAGAATATTCACTTGATGAATCACTGTAAATAAATCAAAATTATGAATACATAAGTTTAGAAAAGGAATAGTTTTGCCTCATGATTGAAAGATGATTATTTTGTAATCAAACAGTATTATAAATGACATTGTTTGATTTTGTTCTAACCAAAGACAAAATTAATCAATATAGAATTTTAAGCATTACCTAAGTGATTTTAATGAAATGATTCTTGGATAAAGTATAATGCTTAATTTCCCATAACAGCATTTAAAATTCAAAATTCCTGCCCAAACCACAAAAACTTCTTTAAATAAAGATGTTCCTTATCCCTAGAAATGCTTAAATATAGTTATTTTAACCCTGAAATAAATATAAATAGCCTGCCAAGATGTTGAATCTTAGATTTACAAAGAATTTTACTTTAAGGACGAGGGAACTAAATTCCATGTGCAAACAGCTATTGGTAGAGCCAGGATAACACAACAGATCTCTGGGCTTCCAACCTAGTACTCATTCTACTATAAAACACTATTTTAACTGGATTTACCAAATTTCTATAAGTACATAATTTCACATTAAAACCATCAAATAATTTTGACCAAATCAAAACCATTAAAACTACCTGGAGGAACTTTCACTTTGCCATTCAATAACAGGATCCTCTATAGAAGCATCACTTGTGCCAACTGTTTCATCTTCCTGGAAGAAAGAGCCAGCAATTCAGATATACGGTTATTATTAACTAATATATTATTAATTAGTGTGTTCTACTTGTTTCATAAAACTTTTTGTATTCCTCCCTCCAAAAAAGAAGTTCTGGTTAAAATGTACATAATCATTATTCTATATAACTCACAACTAAGCCTACCAAGTATTTAAAGATTTCTAGCATCTACTATCTTATTGATATGAGGCATCTATTATTATTTCAAAGGTTCAGTAGATTCCTTAAGAATCCCAAATATAACTCTCTTAAATTTTGTTAAAACTTTTTTTCAATTTTAGTATAGCTGATTTACAACGCTGTATTAGTTTCAGGTATACAACACAGTGATTCAGTCTTATATGTATATATACATATATATGTTTGTATATACATATAAAATATATTCTTGTTCAGATTTTTTCTTATAGAAAACCATTATTTTAAAAATATCTATATAAAAAAGATAAAAATACCTATATGCCTATACTAAGTTAGTGTAATTACTGTCTATAAAAAAGTTAATAAGCCTTTTATTATATAAGATCTCAAACATACCAAAGTAGAGGAACTAGATAACACCCTTGTATATACAATCACCAGTTTAGACAGTATCACATTGCCTATTTTATTGTATATATACTCTTACCAACTGCCTCATCTCTCAGGGATTTTTTTTTGGGGGGGGAAGCATTTCTACTATAAATATTTATTAAGACCAGGAAAACTTTTTAAAGCACAACCACAATTATTATATTAAAAAGACAATATCAATTCCTGAATATGTGATCATTCTTTTCAGATCAAGATTTTCATGAACAGGGGTAGAGAAGGAGGCATATCATTGATAAGAATTAAAGAACTGTGAATGCTGGGAGAAGAATGGGGGTACCATATATTGTCAGTACATAATGAAACCTTCATTGTTCACTTAACAATGACAGATGTTTAAAAGAACAAAAGCAAAGGACTAAAGAAGAGAGGAACATGAAGAAAAGAACTGCTATGGTCTTTATTCCATTACCATGAAAAGGGTTAGGTCTCAGAAAAATCATTATTCAGTAATCTCCATGACGAGTAAAGTCAACAATAACAGAAAACATGTATATTATGATTACCCAGTGAACAAGTTCTGGGACTGTATAACTAGTTATCTCTGCTAATATTTACTTTTTTTTCATTTCTAGGCAGATTTGCTCTCACTGTCTTTTCTCATTGTCCCAAAGTCAAACTTTTCCTGGCATGTTTGATACCCTCAACCAAGATAGTATCTTAGGTACAAATAAGAGAAGATATCTAAAGGAATTCGATATAATGCTCAAATTTGCCTACTAAATGCCTTATTAATGAATAATCCTCTTATAAGAAAGTTATTTAAATAATTTTTTATTAAGGTGACCCTTAAAAGTAAATCCAGACTTTATCAAATTGCTGATTCTTTTGTGATGTATAGATCTTCAGCCTTTCATAGATAAAAAGAACTTTGAAAAGGAATCTAGGTATCAGATATTCATTAACTTCTTTGTGATTTTACAAGATCTCAGATATTAACTTCATTGATGGTATCATGTTATTAAATCTAATTGAAAAAGGAATATTGACAAAGCAAAAAAAAAAAAACACACAAAGTAAATCCAAAGTGATGATACTAACTGGGAAACAAAAAATTACACTGAATAAATAATAGCAGATATCTAACCTCTGAGGAGCTATCTGAGTCTTCCTGTACACCTGAATTTTGACATGATGCTCGTGAATTATGCTCTATGTTGGATCGTGTTTGGTAAGTATGCTGTCGTTTGCGTTGTGTCCTTCGTAAAGACCGCCCATAGCTAGGCTGATAATCACTCTGTAAAACAGAATGAAAAAAAATTTAAAAAAATGAAAAGCTCAGTGAATATGCACAAAAGAATATATATAAAGCAAATCAATTAGGTATGGGTAGAGTAAGGGTTGAGGTGAAATACAGGAATGAATACTCAAAAGAAAACCCAAGATATACCTTTATACTACATTTTTATATAAAATATATTTCATTTCTATATATTTAACCTATTTCCATTAATATTGATTACTTTCCTATTTTGAAAACATTGTGATCAAGTTAGACAGTGCTGAAACTCTAAGCTACAAGAATTTGCCCAGAATTTACATATACCATATTATCTACAAATTATCATAGGATAAAGCAAGCTATCTATATCATATCTATATATATATATATATATAATTCTTAATGTGTATGTCTTTAGTTCTATAAAAACTATATTCAGTAAACAAGTCAAAATAAAAATGTAATTTTTAACAACTAAAACAAAAACTGTTTTATTCTAAACTTTACAAGTATAAAATATTATTATTGATATATCGTATGTCAAACCTATAACTCAGAAGTAAATAATTTTAAAGTTCTTACAAATCAGTATCAAGGGCCAGGTTTTTATCTTATGTGTAAATGTTTCTCATTTTCTGTATAAATAAAAATGCTTACAGAGTCAACTCCCCTGTTTATTAGTCTTAGACAAGTCTGATGTCTGATAAATCAGCTTAGCAGGAAAAAAGAATATAAATCATGGATATGAGTTATTCATAATCTCTAAGAAAGCAATCCTATCAGAGAACATCAAATAACCTAATAAAATCTGAATAGAAATTAAGAAAGTGGGTATCAAAATGATCTAAGTATATTTAGAGATAGTAATATACTACCTAAAACTGTGTTTATTGATACTGAAAGACATTTAAAATTCAGCATCCATCCCCTATATTTGTTTAATAAAATTAAAATCAACCTAGACTTCCCTATTTATCATACTCTTTAGGAGTTACATTTATTAGATCTGGGAACAAAACTATGTATTTTATGCCCCTAGTTTGTTCAACCTCTACGAACTAGTAAGGGGTTTTCCTGTTGTTGTTCAGCTATTAAGTCGTGTCCAACTCTCTTTGACCCCATGGGCTGTGGACCACCAGGTTTCTTTGTCCATGGGATCTCCCAGGCAAGAATACTGGAGTGGATACCCATGCCCTTCTCCAGGGGATATTTCCAACTCAGGGATGGAACCCATGTCTCCTGCATGGAAGACGGATTTTCTTTTCTTTTTTTTTTTTTTTTAAAACCACTGAGCCACTTGAGAAGCCCTAGTAAGGGGTTTACTATGCACCTAATGGAGTATAGGATCTTACCCTGTTTACAAGTCTCTACTGGGAATATTAATCTTCCTAATGTATAGATCAGATTTTGCACCTGTTTAGGTAGGACAGAAGTAAGCCTACAGCAGGGGTGAGCAAACTTTTTCTGTGAAGGGTCAGAGTATAAATATTTTGGCTTTGCAGGTGATATGATCTCTGTGCTAACTACTCAACTCCATAGAGCATGAAAGCAGCCATGGACAATATATAAATGAATAGGTATAGCTGTGTTCAAAAAAAACTTTATTAATAGGAATAGGCAGTAGACCAGATTTAGTCCATGGGCAGTAGTTGGTCAACCTCTGGCCTAGGGTATCTCAGCATTTGTTTTACATTGTGATTAGTGATCAGGCAATAATTTTAAGGTTCTACTTTAACCAAATGAAAATGACATTTTAATCCAAATATCTTATACCTACAATAACCACATCCTAGACTTGGGAAGAGAGTCCTAATGCTGTGCAATTTTATCCTTATTAATAATAATCATATCTCAATATGGGGTTCAAAAAATAGTTTCCCTATATACAGACCTATCAAAATAATCACTTATTACATAATGGCCGCCTTTCAAACACTTGGTATTTTCAAATAGTGTACTACAGAGTACTTTGCATCTAAACTTACCCTTTGGTTAGTATAAGATGGTTTTTTCTTCTTTTCAACTGTATAAAGACTGATTTCTATGTCACCTTTTACAGTTCGACATTCTTCCTGAACCCTAGTAATAAATTGAAGATCAACATAATGGAAAATCATCAAAAAGCAAACCAAATGGTTTAAAATCAGATAATAAAAACATTTTTAAATGTAAAACTGGACATCTTAACCATTTTAGGTGTATAATTCAGTGGTTCTGTTGACATTTACAAAGTTGTGCAACCAACATCACTATTTCCAAAACTTTTTCATCACTCCAAACATAAACTTTGTAACCATTAAGCAATAAGTCTCTCTCCTCCTACCAGTGCCTGTTAACTGCCAATCTACTTTATGCCTCTATCAATTTGTCTACCTTAGATATTTTATATAAGTAGGAAGTGAAAGTGAAAGTGAAGTTGTGTCCAACACTGCAACCCCGTGGACTGTAGCCCACCAGGCTCCTCCATCCATGGGATTCTCCAGGCAAGAATACTGGAGTGGCTTGCCATTTCCTTCTTCATATATAAGTAGAATTATACATTATTTGCCCCTTTGTGTCTCACTTATTTCACTTAGCATAATGTTTTTGATGTTCAAGCATGTAGCAAGTATGAGAAGTTTATACAGCTGAATTTCATTCTACTGAAGTACACTGTTGTTGTTGTTCAGTCGCTCAGTCATGTCTGACTCTTTGCGACCCCAAGGACTGCAGCATGACAGGCTTCCATGTCATTCACCAACTCCAGGAGTTTGCTCAAATTCATGTCCATTGAGAATGTGATGCCATCCAACCATCTCATTCTCTGTCGTCCCCTTCTCCTCCTGCCTTCAATATTTCCCAGCATCAGGGTCTTTTCCAATGAGTCAGCTCTTTGCATCACGTGGCCAAAGTATCGGAGCTTCAGTTTCAGCATCAGTCCTTCCAGTGAATATTCAGGACTGATTTCCTTTAAGATTGACTTCTTTGATCTCCTTGGAGTCCAAGGGATTTTCAAAGAGTCTTCTCCAACACCACATTCAAAAGCATCAAATTTTTGGCATTCAGCCTTCTTTATGGTCCAACTCTCACATCCATACAGGACTGCTGGAAAAACCAAAGGCTAGACGGACTTTGGCAGCAAAGTCATGTCTCTACTTTTTAATATGCTATCTAGGTTTATCATAGCTTTTCTTCCAAAGAGCATTTTTTAATTTCATGGCTGCAGTCACCATCTGCAGTGATTTTGGAGCCCAAGAAGATAAAGCGTTTCATTGTTTCCAATGCTTCCCCACCCATTTGCCATGAAGTGATGGGAACCCAATGGCACGATCTTAGTTTTTTAAATGCTTAAGGCAGCTTTTTCACTCTCCTCTTTCACTTTCCTCAAGAGGCTCTTTAGTTCCTCTTCACTTTCTGCCATAAGGGTGGTGTCATCTGCATATCTGAGGTTATTGGTATTCCTCCCTGCAATCTTGATTCCAGTTTGAGCTTCATCCAGCCCAGCATTTCGCATGATGTACTCTGCATATAAGTTAAATAAGCAGGGTGACAATATATAGCCTTGACGTACTCCTATGCCAATTTTAAACCATTCCATTGTTTCATGTTTGGAGCTAACTGTTGCTTCTTGACCTGCATACAGGTTTCATAGGAGGCAGGTAAGGTGGTCTGGTATTCCCATCTCTTCAAGAATTTTCCATAGCTTGTGATTCACACAGTCAAGGCTTTAGTGTAGTCAAAGAAGCATAAGTAGATGTTTTTCTGGAATTCTCTTGCTTTTTCTATGATCCAATGGATGTTGGTAATTTGATCTCTGGTTCCTCTGCCTTTTTTAAATCCAGCTTGAACATCTGGAGATTCTCAGTTCACATACTGTTGAAACCTAGCTTGGAGAATTTTGAGCATTACTTTGCTAGCATGTGAAATGAGTGCAATTGTGTGGTAGTGTGAACATTCTTTGACATTGCCCTTCTTTGGAATTGAAATGCAATCTGAACTTTTCCAGTCTTGTGGCCACTGCTGAGTTTTCCAAATTTGCTGGCATATTGAGTGCAGCACTTTAACAACATCATCTTTTAGGCTTTGAAATAGCTCAACTGGAATTCCATCACCTCCACTAGCTTTGTCTGTAGTTATGCTTCCTAAGGCCCACTTAACTTCACACTCCAAGATGTCTGGCTCTAGTGTGGTTATATGGGTCATTAAGATCTTTTTGTATAGCTTTTCTGTGTAATCTTGCCACCTCTTCTTAATATCTTCTGTTTCTGTTAGGTCCATACTGTTTCTGTCCTTTATTATGCCCATCTTTGCATGAAACGTTCCTTTGGTATCTCTAATTTTCTTGAAGAGATCTCTAGTCTTTCCCATTCTACTGTTTTCCTCTTTTTCTTTGCACTGATCACGTAGGAAGTCTTTCTTACCTCTCCTTGCTATTTTCTGGAACTACATTCAGTTGGGTATATCTTTCCTTTCCTCCTTTGCCTTTCAGGTCTCTTTTCTCAGCTGTACGTTAATGCCTCTTCAGCAAGCATTTTGCCTTGTTGCATTTATTTTTCTTGCGGATGGTTTTGATCACCACCTCCTGTACAATGTTATGAACCTGTATCCATAGTACTTCAGGCACTGTATTAGATCTATCACATTTTATTTACCTATTCATCCACTGACATATATTTTGAATCATTTCTACCATTCAGTTATTATGAATAATGCTACAATAAATATTGGCATACAAATATCTGAGTCCTTGCTTTCAATTCTATTTTTAACACCTTGAGCAGAGAATTACATTAAATTGTTCTACTGCCAGGGGGTAGCATTCAGTTCATAAATTAGCCATGTCTCCCTTTTTCTTATTACTGCTAAAGAAATAATAAGGTGAAACCAAATTAATTTTGCTATTTGTTGGCTCAGCTTGTGAAAAGGTCTACTGGGAAGATATCATGATTTAAATGGATTTTATAGGTCCTCTGTCAATGTGCTTTCTCTTTTCCAAATCTATTTCCAGTTGTTGTGCATTATTTGAAGTCAATATTATAGTAAATGTTAAGGTTTACAGATAAAGATAGGGAATCCAAGTTTGAAATGCATCCTAATGAAATCTTTTCATCCAAAGAAGTCTACTTAAACATATTTATAAAACATATACTACACTATGCACTGGGCTCTACTATATATCTGTACTGCACTCCCAAACTGCTCCAATTCTGAGTATCCTCAGAACCACTGTTGAATTTTTGGGTCCATGTATCACTGACATATTTACTCACATATGGCCTCATGTTCTTACTTAATACTATTTTTTCTTATCTTCTAACCTAGACTGTAAACTCAAAGAAGACAGAGATCATGTTTTTCACTTTTCATTATTCCCCAAACCATTTAGCAACAAGCTAAGAAAATTTAAGATGATCTTTAAATAGTTGTTATGGAATGAACTAATGGAAGAATGTGGAAAAATTAATGCATGGCTCAGCTAAATTTAAAAAAAAAATCTTAGTTATTAGCCTAACATAGTACATTTTAATTTATTTACTAAAAAAAAAAAACTCTCAATGTTCTTATGAATGTTACCATATTGACTCACCTACTAACCCCATTATTTAGCTCATTGACTACCACTCTTCTGCTCCATGCCATGAGATCTCGTTCAGTGGCCATCTGGCTTCTAGGAGCATTGTTATGCATTTGTCGGACACCTTCAATCTGACCACTACGTCGCAGTCCAATATTTGGGGAAGAAGATATGTCCATATCTGGATTTCTCAGAGCTAAAACAAAAACAAAGGAATGCTCCACGCTCTGAGCAAAGAAAGACACCAAACTTTTTCAGATCAGAGCTCTAAATAAAATAAGAGATTCAAAGATAATACTGCTAGACAATATTGCTGTTCCTTTATTTTCTGTATCCCCTTTATGGTCTTTATAGTCTTATAAATAAAGCAGGCACTCAATAAATGTTTATTGTCTCTATAGCTCTTTTAATTTTTTTCAAAGCACTTTCACATCTGTCATCTACTAAATGCTCAGTAAATACAAAAAGTGTATTTAATATATTTGGTAGATTTATACATGTTCTTGTTACTAGTTCAGAAAGCAGCTTTTTAATCTAAATTCTACCTTTAGCCCATTAAAAGGCTTCTGAATAAAACCCCAATAAACTTTTCAAAAATAGGAAGAAAAAAATTCTAGGACTTCCTGTGTGGTCCAGTGTTTGGGAATCAGCCTGCAAATGCAGGAGACATGGGTTCTATCCCTGGTACAGAAGATTCCATATGCTGTGAAACAACTAAACCCATAAGCCATGACTACTGAGCGTGTGGGCCACAGTTTTACTGAAACCCTTGTGCCTATAAGTCCATGCTCTGCAACAAGAGAAGCCATAGCAATGAGAAGCCTGAACACTGTAACAAAGAGTAGCCCCTACTCGCTGCAACTAGAGAAAACTCAAGCAAAGCAATGAAGACTTAGTGCAGCCAAGAATAAATAAATAAACAAACAACATAAATATAATTTATTAAAAAAATAGCTGAAGGAAAAAGGAGAAACTGTGCACAGCTACTGAGTCCATGCTCTACAGCCCAAAACCGCTACTGAGCCCACACGTGGCAACTACTGAAGCCTGCACACCTAGAGGCTGTGCTCTGCAACAAAGAGAATCCACTGCAATGAGAAGTCCGTGCACTGCAATGAGTAGGGGCTCCTGCTTGCTACAACTAGAGAAAAGCCCTCACACAGCAATGAAGATCCAGGGCAGCCAAAGATTTAAAAATAATACAATAAAATAAAAAATAAAATTATAAAAAAAAATTAAACTATCAAAATTTCAGTTTCAAAATTGGTAAGGAAGGAAAGAAAAGGGAAATAATAGAAATGTTACTTTTCTTTTTAATCTTCCACAAAGGTTTCTGATTACTTTGTTCTATTTGCAAATGGAAACTGAAACACTAAACTATTAAAGTATGCATCAGAAAAAACTCAAAACAAATGAACACTGCAAAGAGAAGACAATGGAATCTCTTTGCTTAACAGCATTCAAATCTATTCATGCAAACCTAGTAATGAAGTTACTGATCTCTAAATCAGGGTTGTAAGAAAGTTTTATGTCTTAGGAACAAAAGGCTTGGACATATAGGATCATCAGTCCATGTTTTATCTTATTCCAGGTTAAGGAAAGTTTTATGAGATAGGTGCTCCATATGACATGAACAAGTAATATTTTAATTTTAATTTTATGGGATATTAAATGAATCAGAGAGTGAGTAAAAGACCCTGCTCAGTTCAGTTCAGTTCAGTCGCTCAGTCATGTCCAACTCTTTGCGACCCCATGAATCGCAGCACGCCAGGCCTCCCTGTCCATCACCAACTCCCGTAGTTTACTCAAACTCATGCCCATTGAGTCGGTGATGCCACCCTGTCAATCATCTCAAATTTAGATCACATTTCTGTGGACTCCAAAATGCTACACTACCCAAATCAATGACTGCAATTATATAAACATAAAAAGAAACATGTGCCAAAATCCCATAAGAGGATGCATTTTTAAAGTTGAACAGTTTTTAACAAAAATAAAACTAACATTGCCTAAGATTATATAAAACTCAGATGCATAAACACATTTCATGTAAAGTGAAGGAAGACCTACAGTAGATTAGAATAATACCATGAGATCAAACTTGTGAGAGTTGATTAAGAAACTGTATTCCCTAAGAAGAGGGCTTGTTGTCTGCCAGTGTGTTTTTGTAAACTCAAGAGAGATAGATGATATGTTGCTATTTTCATTCTTTACCACCTGAGCCACCAGGGAAGCCCACTTTTTCAACAAATGAGAGCAAATATTTCTGAAAGTAATTTTAAAATTTAAAGTGATTTTAATTTTGAAAACTTTATAGGTTGGTTCCCCTAGAAGGGACTGGACTTGTTATAGCATCTTGCTTATTAGAACAAGACTACAAATATATTACTAAGTTAAAAGAAAATAGTATATTAAAATACACGGTCTGTATTCCTTAGAACATGCTAAATCACTTTACTCCCAAATGATAATGAGATCATGGCACTTTGGTGTATCTGATATCAAAACTTTAACAAAATGTTGCTTTTATTTAAAAATCTAAAATGTTCCTCATGTGTAATTATTTGGTACAGATAAAATAAAGTACATTCATCATATCTTTTACAAATATATACATACTTACCACCATTAGCAGAATATGATCTATTAATTGGAAAATGTGGAGCATCTCCTTCATTAATTAGTCTCAGATCTTGTTCTCTTTGTAACTCCCTGATTATTCCATCAAGAATGCTCTCATCTTGATCATTGGTTTGTTGCCCAATTACCTGTTCTACTACTTCACCATCACCTAAATCAGACCAAAGATATAAAGCCACAAAATTATTTACATTTTTGTATACCATAAGTAGAGTAAAATCAAGGTCAATCTATAAGTTGCTAAACAAATAGTTTTTAAAGGATTAAAATGAAAATAAAGCACATAGCAAACAAAATATTTTTAAAGAACTTTTAAGTATGTCAGCTTGTGTGTTTAACTTAACCAATGTCCCCAAACTAGACACTTTGATGAGGACCTTCTCATCTTACAGGGGAAAAAAAAGTGATTAAATTATTAAGAATGAATTTTCTCTATGGAATATTCAAAGCTAAAAGTTGTGTGCATGCTCATTTGCCCAGTCATGTCTGACTCTTTGTGATCCTATGGACTGAAGCCCATCAGGTTCCTCTGAAGCTAAAAGTTAGGAGTAAATATTTGAGTAAGGTTTTAATAAGTTCAACACTGAAAATGCTTTGCATCTTTCATGAGAACTTCCTTTCTGAAAGAAATAAAAATTATGGTCTTTAATATATTTTCTCTTTTGATAGCATCTCAGTAGACAGATGTGAGGGTTTCCCTGATAACTCAGTTGGTAAAGAATCCGCCTGCAATGCAGGAGGCCCCAGTTTGATTCCTGGGTCGGGAAGATTCCCCTGGAGAATGGATAGGCTACCCACTCCAGTATTCTTGGGCTTCCCTTGTGGCTCAGCTGGTAAAGCATCTGCCTGCAATTCGGGAGACCTGGGTTTCATCTCTGGGTTGGGAAGATCCCCTGGAGAAGGAAAAGGCTTACCCACTCCAGGATTCTGGCCTGGAGAATTCCATGGACCATATAGTCCATGGGGTTGCAAAGAGTCGGACATGACTGAGCAACATTCATTTTCACTTTTCATACATTTGAGTATAAAAATTATTTCTTATAATAAAATTCAATTATTACATCCAAATGAAAATTTTATTTATTTCTATGATCTTTTTCTTTCTTAACTACATCTTAGACCTGTTTTTCATCTTGTCTTCTAGTCAGAATAAATGGTATCTATTAAGAGTAGCCAAGTGATCAGATCTTACAGGAAACAAAATAAAGTATAGATTTTTTAATTCATATGTTTTCAGCTCTACCTCCTATTTAATAGTCATACATTTCCCCCTTGTTTAATTAAATATGACATCAATAAAGTAACTATTATCACATGTTTAACACCATTTCATTGCTCTACAAATCTTTATGAGAGAATATAAAAAGGATATGTAACACTTCATTCTATAAAGGTCAAGTCTTAATTTACAAGTAAGGATATAAAATTCCATTTGCAAATAAATAACTCATTGCCTCAAACTTGGAAGAAAACCTACAAGTAACAAACTAACATATGAAGGCATTCTGGTGTCAGGGTGGGATGGAGGCAGTATACCTAAGGGAAACATGTCAACCAAAAGAGTTGTTTTTTAATGTCTTTTTCTACTATGCTCCCATCATGCATCACACTCATCACTGCATGTTCAATATCCACCAATACTATTGTTATTTAAACACTTAGCATTCTCCTCTCCAACACTCAATGATTCTTTACATTTCAAACATGAGGTTGGGTAAACAGCCACCTTCCAGTTTATAGTTCTTGAAATTTCCTCTTCTTCAGTCCATTAACTATGTACTCTCCAAATACCAATAGTAAGAGCAGTAGAATTTCACCAATTATAAAAAGCTTGAAACATTAAAGTTAGTAAATTTAGTCACTTTTGTTTTTCAGTCACTCAGTTGTGTCTGACTCTTTGCGAACCCATGGATTGCACCCACGTGGATTGCAGGAAGCATAGACTTCCCTGTCCTTCTTGCTCAAGTTCATGTCCATTGAGTCAGTGATGCCATCGAACCACCTCATCTTCTGTTGCCCTCTTCTCCTACCCTCAAACTTTCCCAGCATCAGGGTTTTTTCCAACGAGTAGGTTCTTCACATCAGACGGCCAAAGTATTGGAGCTTCAGCATCGGTCCTTCCAATGAATATTCAGGACTGATTTCCTTTAGAATGGAATCGTTTGATCTCCTTGCAGTCCAAGGGACTCTCAAGGGAGTCTTCTCCAACCCCACAGTTCAAAAGTATCAATTCTTCAGCACTCAGTCTCCTTTTACAGTCCAACTCTCACATCCATACATGACTACTGGAAAAACCATAGCTTTGACTATATGGACCTTTGTAGGCACAGTAATGTCTCTGCTTTTTAATGTGCTTTCTAGGTTTGTCATAGCTTTCATTCCAAGAAGCAAGCATCTTTTCATTTAATGGCTGCAGTTCCTGTCTGCACTGATTCTGGAGCCCAAGAAAATAAAGTCTGTCACTGTTTCCATTGTTTCCCCATCTATTTGCCATGAAGTGATGGAACCATATGCCATGATCTTAGTTTTCTGAATGTTGAGTTTTAAACCAGCTTAAATTATGGCTAGAAGTCAATACTAAAAGCATCACAATCATAGACATGTTCAGGTTTCTAAGGAAGTAGGTCAATACATTCTCTGCTTGAGTATACTCTTGTTTGCCCTAATCCATTTATCTGTGTTCAGATGAGATAAACAATGCAAAAAAGTACATTGGTAAGGGAAAAAGTTCTATGCCACTGAAAAGGTAAAATATGTGGCTCCCCTGGTGGCTCAGATGTAAAAAATCTGCTAGCTAAACCCGTGTTGGGAAGATCCCCTGGAGAAAGGAATGGCAACCCACTACAGTATTCTTGCCTGGAAAATTCCATAGACAGAGGAGCCTGGTGGGCAATAGTCCATGGGGTCACATAGAGTTGGACATGACTGAGCGACTAACACTTTTCATTTTCAGGTAAAATATATTATAACCTACTACATAGTTTAGCATGGGGATATATTATGGAGAGAACAGTACGTTTAATACTTTACAAAATGTTTTAAATTTAATTTTGTTGATAACATACCATTAGCCACATATCCCAGCTGTGGTATAAGCTGTTCATCTTTACAATTTTCCCGTCCTGGTACCAGTCTTTGAAATTTTGTGGGATGAGGATTTCCATCAACATCCACCAAAAATGGTGGAGGCATGAGATGAGGAGCTTGTTGGGTTTGTTCATCCAATACATAGTTGTTGGCATCACGGATAAGAGGCCGATAATCAGTATGGAAGAACATCTGATCTGGAATCTTTATGATAGACTTTTAGTATTTAATGTGCACAGAAAATTTATTAACAAGCATTTATATTCATTCCTAGATCATGTTTGCTTTTCAAATCAGACAATTTTTGCATTATCTATATGCTCCTTTATTGTCACGTGTTCTCCCTAGGTAGAAGTGAATCACCTAGATCATAGTCCTATTTTTCTCCACAAAACCCTATAATATATATTATTTTCTGGCCCTTCCCTATCATATTTCTCCAAGTAGGATAAGAAGAAGCAAAACAACAATGTAGTAGATAAAGTTAGCTATTTTCAAGTTGCAAAAAACATACAAACTTTAATAACTATTTTTCTTGCTTGCTTTTATTCAAACAAGAATAGACAGAGTATAATATAAATGGTGAGACAGGTAAATATCAATGCATGAAAGACACAAAGGTGATTAAGTATCAAGATGAACTCAAAGATTCTAGTTCTTTTCCAACTCCAAGATTCTATCATCTATCCTAAACTCACAGCTAATAAAATAAAAGAAACCAATTAAATCAGCTTCCAAAGTATTTTAACAAGATCAATATAGGTAAAATAAACATTCAGCAACGAGCTGTTTATTCCTAAATTAGGATAAGTAAAGGATGTAACCTGGTCAACTTATTCTCTCATTACACCTAAAAGGTAGTACAGAGAGAGAATATGTACTAAGCAAGAGTATTTTCCAATGAATTTTTATATCTACATCACCCTACATCTTAAGAGTAATTTGAACTGCCAAGCCTTATATTCTGGCAGTGATAAAAAATTTTACCAAAAAAAAAGCGACTTTGTTATTTTATATCTATTGAAACATAGTGACCCTTGTTAACCATAAAGTTTCAAATAAGATGTATGAATGATACTATCAAAAATCACAATCTATAACAACAATTAAGTATACTAACCTTTTCATAGTATTTACTGCATCCAAATCCAAACAGCAGCAAATGCCCATGCGAATCAGTGCAGGCAAAATGGTTTCCATCTGGTGAAAATTTACAGTCAAACACTGCACCATGGCCTTGGCCTTCAATCTGAAATTAAGAAGTCACTTTAAGTCACCTTAAGAGGTAATTTTCAAATAATAAGTAGTTAGTAGTTTCTGCTTGCTAATATCATGGATTCTGTGATACATCAACATTCCAATGTACTCTCTGATTTCTCTAGCCAGAATCCTACTGCAATAGTAAAGCTCTGAAAGAAATTAGGGAGATTCAATATGCAATGTATCGCATCAACCATTACTAGCAATGCCCTAACTGAAGAAGGACAGCATGAATGACTGAGGAGGATAAAAAAGACCTAAACACAACCAAATTGACAAAGGTGCTATTTCAGGAAAGTCAAGATATTATTTAAACTGCAAATCAAACTTGATTTTTTTTTCAAATCAAACTTTAAAAGAACCATCCTAAAATTAAAGCACACAAATCAATCTCACTGACAAAAGACAAAGGGTTATTATTAACACTATGAATCTGTATAAAGCCTATAAAAGGTAGCTCAAAGGCCAACAATTTAGAAATATTTAGTCAGAACTATTTTTCAGAAAGGAACAATAAATATGGGAAACATGAGTATTCCCATCACCATAGGAGGGTGTTCAACTGGGAGAAGAGATACTTCACCATATTTTTCCATTGTTTGTATGAAATATATCTTAGGAGTATCCACATCTCCAATTCCATGTGTGACAAACAGCTTCCTGATTACTAACTAAATTATACAGGATTTACCAGAGACAGATATAATGCAGTCACTGTTGTGATTCATTCATTAGGATTATAGTTTAAATGTTAACTTTTTTGTAATTTTGTTTAATGTTAAATTCAAATGCTTATTCAATTTGAGTTTCTAGAACTAAGAGCTGGGAAACAGAATTTGGAAAATGTTAACACCACAAAACAAAGACAACCTGAAAGGCGTAATTCTCAGTTGGTCTTACTCTCAGATCTTGAGTCATTCTCTAAGTTATTACATGGATTTAAACAGAGGGCAAGAGGTTCCTTGGCATTAAGTATACTTTAATTACCCAATTATAATAGTCTGCTTTTATATCAACTAAGCATAGATTGGCCTTCTTCTGTGGCTTAACTGGTAAAGAACCTGCCTGCAATACAGGAGACCCAGGTTCAATCCTCGGGTTGGGAAGATCCCCTGGAGAAGGGAAAGGTTACCCACTCCAGTATTCTAGCCTGGAGAACTCGATGGACTATATAGAACATAGGGTTGCAAAGAGTTGGACACGACTGAGCGACTTTCACAAGCATAGATTTCCCTTACCATGTTAAAATAATTCCGAATTTTGGTCCCCCGGTCAAGGTCCCAAATAAAAATGTTCCCATCATGACCTGCTGAGAGTATGATCCTTTGATCAAATGGATGTGCTTCCAAAACAAATACTTCATCATCATGTCCCTGTGATAAAATCAATATTAAAAATGAAAAGCAACATTGAATATCTGTCTTATTTGGTTAAAAGATCTCAGGATATCCTATCAATCTGATTCAGATGAATTCATGTATGCAAATTTAACAGCATTTACAAACATGGACACTACAAAAAATAGTTGTCAGAGTTCCTTATATGTTTAAATGCTGACTTCATAAACTATATGGCTTTCTTGATAGTTCAGTTGGTAAAGAATTTCCATGCAATTCAGGAGACCCCAGTTCAATTCCTGGGTTGGGAAGATCCACTGGAGAAGGGATAAGCTATCCACTCCAGTATTCCTGGGCTTCCCTTGTGGCTCAGTTGGTAAAGAATCTGCCTGCAATGTGGAAGAACTGGGTTCAATCCCTGGATTAGGAAGATCCCCTGGAGATCTTCCCTACTCCAGTATTCTGGCCTGGAGAATTCCAGGGACTATATAGTCCAAGGGGTCTCAAAGAGTCAGACACAATTGAGTGACTTTCACTTTCACTTCATAAAATATTCAATAGACAGAAAACCTGAAAGGTATTTGAAATACAATCCAAAATCAGGCCCCTGAAGTGGAATTCATATTCCGAGGACTTTGCTATTAAAAGGTCCCAGAATATGTGACAAACAAAATCTCTTATTAACACCCAATTCTGACACAGTAATAACAGACAAACCTTCATTATTCTTCATCCAGTACTCACTGATATTCATATTGTATCATAGGAGGACCTATGATATGTTCAAACAACAAATTATAGTTTGTCTTTTCTACCTTTATCTACTTTATAGTTGAAGGTTTCATTTAATATTCTACCTGAAAAATGGATATGCTGCTAAAAAAATAAAATAAGTTTGAAAGTCAATGTTCCTATATTGCCCCCACAATAAATCAATATCAGCATCTCTACAGACTTTAGATCAGGAGTCTGGAAACTTTAGGCCAACTAGCTCCCCAATGTTTCTGGACAGAGAGCCTAAGGAATGATTTTTACATTTTTTTAAAAGGTGGTAAAAAATGAAAGAATATTCAACAGAGACCATATGTGGCCTGCAAAGCCTAAAATATTTACTATCTGGCCTCTTAAAGAAAAAGTTTGTCAACAGCTAATTTAGATCACTGTTCATTTTCGTTAATTCCTGGCTAGAGTACAGGCTCCCAGTTTTAGAGAAGCATGTGGGACATCCTGAAATTGCATTTCACTTAGGAACATATCAGCATATTACACATCAGGAGCTTCCAGAAATAATCACATGTTGTGAACCTAAAAAGTGCATTTTACCCCAAATCATTGCATAAAAAATAGAAGACTATCCTGTCCTACTACCATTATGTTAAAAATGTAGCTTATTAAAAAGTAACTTCAGAATGACTCAAAATGAAAAGTGGAAGATGAAGAGGCAAAATCCATTTCAATAAATACTAACAAAACACTTTTTTCCCAGTGACTATCAAAAAAATTATTTGTCATAACAAAATCTCTTACTGACTATCCAATTTGATATAGTAAATACTTTCTCAGGTTCCTAATCAGTAAGCAGTAAAATTACTCTGTTAAAGTCAAATGATAATGATACAACTACATTAGTGTACATTAGGAAAGAGAGACTTTTAAATAGGGGGTTCCATTTTTTGTCCTTGGTCATGGGAAACAAAACCTAGTCAGATTAAGTAATATCTTAAGATTTACCATTTGCCCTATTTTTAATTATTAAGCACACCTCTATTTCCACCACTATGATACAAATCCAAATTATCATTAAGGCCCATCCTATCATAGAATCCTACAGTATACTCGGAGTCATCCTTATCTCATTCCAATCTATTCTCTCTACTCTGTTGCTACAATTAGGAGGCAGTTTTCAAAAGCAAAATTCACATGCTATTCCTTCGCTTTTAAACTCTTTCATGGTACCTATTGGTCTCAGGATAGATCCTACAAGACCTTGCATGATCTGGCCCCTGCCTATTTCTCCTCTTATCAGGTGATACTCTTTCTGCTCTCTGTGCTTTAGCCAAAAAATTGGCTTTCACCTCCTTTCTACCTCAAGACCTTTGTACATGCTTTTCCCTCTTCTTGGAGGGAACTTTCAACCTCCTCACACATGTAATTTACCAAATATGTATTGATCCCCTACCATGCTGAGACAGAAAATAAACAAACAAAAAATACAGTAAGAAAATACTAGATAGTGATCAACACTACGATGAAAATAAAGCAAGATGATGACTGGGAGGCTACCCAAGATTGTTTGCTCAAGGAAGGCCTTGTCAAGGAAGTGACATTTAGGATGAGAGCTGGGAAATTTTTACCTATCTTACAAATCTTAACACAAGCTTCACCTTCTCAGGAAGCTTTCTCTGACCCTTCCAGACTAGGTTTGGTTATCCTAGTAGAAACTTGCATTTTGCTCTTCTTAGCATTTACTTGATTAAATGCTTGTTTCTTTGTTTTATTTAATAGGCTATAAACTCCAGGAGGATAGGGACTCTTTAATCTACTATTTAAAGCTATCTCAGTGGCTGGAACAATGGATACTCAATAAGTATTTGTTGAATTGAAGAACTTCACACCCTAGTAAGACTCTGGTACACAAATTCTTAACATATAAAATATAAATTCTATACCAAAACTAAGCAGATTTAACTGTTATAAGGACTAAAAATAGTCTGTTTTAAAATTTCTTCAGTAAAATTCACTGGAAAGATGACCCATGAATCAGCCCATGGGAAGAGTACCATTGAACAGAACTGTAAATTAAGATATTAATTAAGACAGAGTTTTACATGGATTTTATAAAAACAATGGCTACAAATGGCCTTTGAAGTTGTGATTTTTAGAGATAAAGACCTGTAGCCACTGGCTACATGTGGCTACTAAGCATCTGAAATGTGGCTAACAGAAGCTGAGATAGTCTATAAACTTAAAATACACACTAGATCTCAAAGATTTAGTATGAAAAAATGTCAACAATTTCATTAATATTTCTTATATCATGTTGAAAAGCTACTATTTTGTATATACTGGGTTAAATAAAGCCAGCTCTACCCTTGAAAACAACAACAAAAAAATCCCAACTCATGCTGCAAACAAATAACTTATATACCCTTGACTGCACATGATAACATAATGGGTAAATAAATATGGGAAAAGATGCTGAAAAATATTCATACTACACGATGTGCCATCCTTATTTTGTAGATATGTCAACAAAGGAACTTTTAATAATTCTCCAAGGAACATTAAGCCATAGAAAGCAAACTAGAACACTTAAGTTTCCTGTCTTCTAGAATAATGCCCTTTTAGATCATTTTTAATTATTCTAAAAATAGAATACTTACGGATAAAGTATGAAGAAGTTGGCCTGTGATAGAATTCCATACTTTTAAAAGGAAATTGTTCACTGCAGTAATCACTGTGGTGTCGTATCGATCCCAGGCCACCATAGTCACCTTAAGTTTAGTGACCTTGTCTTCTCCAGATGACAAATTGTTCCTAAACAAAATAATTTCAGGGCTAATAGATATTGAACAAAGGTGCATCTAAATAGCAAATTATGAAGAAAATCTCCCTAGAAGCATGCAACTTTTTAGATTATCACATAGGGCAACATCTATAGGCTTATTTTAGGGAGGAAAGAAAACACAAAATGACAAAAATTTTATTAGTTAAATGGGAGCAATAAAACAGTGAAGTTAGAAAGGACTCTTCAGATACCTTGAAAAGTAAAATACAAGGTCAGGTTGGCTACCAGAAAATATAAAGAAAACATAATTAAATGGACACTTTATTCCTTTAAATATTCATTTTTTTGAAACTAAAATAGGTATTATACAAAAAAGCAGTAAGAAATTCAGTTAATTGATTTAATCAAATGGCATTATCAGTAGCTGACTATGACTACAAAGTTGATTCTATATTGTTATTAATGGGAAAATAATTAATTTCAAGATCATACCCTAAAGAAACTGTTGTATCCTAAAGCGGTAATTATGTAATTATGTACTTCCAGTTAACAGTGAAGATGATGAAATGTAATTCTGATTAACTGTATTTATAATGTTGAGTAGGAATGCTAACAATATGAAACACAAAGGTATTCTCAGTAAGTCAGAGAAATATCTTAAAAAAAAAAAGATGACATTTAATACAGACAACCCCCAAAGTTGTCTAGTATAAATAAATATAAAAATGACTTATAGAAAACTAGGGCAGAGAATGATCCTATAGGCATTATTAAAGCACAGAGATCTTTGGATCACAAAAGACCAGAAGTTTGAATGAGTCAGATATGTTTCTATCATCCAATCTGTCAATCAATGGTTAAAGACAATGTTCTTAAGAGACTAAACACAGATACAAATTTCTAACAATTAACTCCAAATTAAAAAGATATTTATTATCATTATTAAATAGAACACAATAATGTAAAAGATACTATATGAGAATCACTAAAATATCTAACATCCAATCTTACCCAGTCATTTTCGTAGCCATATCTAGTACTATACTCTTCCATTCTTGTTGCTGATATTGCCAAATTCTTGCTGTTCCATCTCTACTTCCACTAACAAATCTTAAACTGCAAAGAAACAGTTAAAATATTCTTATTCCCTTTCTCTAGAATGGAAATCACTACTTTTCTAATTATAAAAGTAATACATTCAACCTCATACACTTCTGTGGATAATGAAAATGGTACACTTTGGGAAGCAGTTTGGCAGTTCCTCAAAATGATAAATAGTACCCCATGACTCAACAATTCTACTCCTCTATAAGTATACAAGAGCAATGAAAACATAAGTCCACAGAAAAACATGTATACAAGTATTCATTGTATTACTTACTATATTCTAAAAGTGATGACAACCCAAATGTTGATAGATAGATAAACATATTGTATAGCCATACAATCGATTTCTTGACAGCCATAAAAAGGAAATCAAATTCTTATACATGCTTCAACATGGGTGAATCTTGAAAACATCATGCTAAGTAAAAAACGTCACAAAAGACCAAATACTGTATGATTCCACTTATATGAAACGTCCAGAATAGGCAAATCAGCAAAAATAAAAACTGGATTAATGGTTGTTGTTGTTCAGAGCTGAAGGTAGGGATGTAGAAAGATGGGAAATTGAAAGCTAAAGGGTATGGACATGGTAATTATTTTGGGGGTGATGACAATGTTCTAGGAATATGGTGTTAAGAAATGCAAACTATTATGTATAAAACAGATAAGCAATAAGGATATAAGAGTAAAGCATGGAGAAATATAGTTATTACTTTATAATAACTTTAAATGGAGCATAATCTATAAAAATATTGAATCACCATCTTTTATACCTGAAATTAATATAATCTTATAAATTAAAAATATTTTAATTAAAAAATAAAAGTGATCATAGTGAAGGCTACACAGCCCTGGGAATATACTTAAAACACTGAATTTTATGTGGAATACATCTCAATAACACTAAATAAAAATACATTCGTTAACCTATTAACTATAACCTATAACCTACTACTATCCGTAACTTAGTTTCTATTCTTTCAGACTTTATATAGACACATACATTTATATATTCCCACTACAGAGAATAGAATTACAGTACAAAGGAAGATCCCTTGGAGGAGGGCATAGCAATCCACTCCAGTATTCTTGCCTGGAGGATCCCACGGACGAGGAGGACTGGCGGGCTACAGTCCATAGGGTCGCAAAGAATCAAACATGACTGAAGCGACTTACCACACACACACACACACACACACACACACACACACACACACTGATTTATAGTGTTTTTCCAGATGCTGCAACTAGAGTTTGCATGCCACAACGGAGATGGAAGATTCCACGTCCCAGCGAAGATGGAAGACCCCATATCTTATGTGTTATACATATATCTACATATATTTTATGCATTCATGGCATACCTTTCTCTTAATATTTTCAATATTTCTAAGTTATGTGATTTGTCTGAGTTTTTTTCAAATTATCACAAATCTCCAAAAAGTTTTCTAATATATTTATTTAAAAAAAGTATGCATAAGTGGACCTGCACAGTTCAAACCTATGTTTTTCAAAGGTCAACTGTATTTTGTAGATATATTTCTAGGTTTGAAACTATAAGCAAGGTGAAAAGACAGCCCTCAGATTGGGAGAAAATAACAGCAAATGAAGAAATAGACAAAGAATTAATCTAAAAAATGTACAAGCAACTCCTGCAGCTCAATTCCAGAAAATTAAATGACCCAATCAAAAAATGGGCCAAAGATCTAAACAGACATTTCTCCAAAGAAGACATACAGATGGCTAACAAACACATGAAAAGATGCTCAACATCACTCATTATCAGAGAAATGCAAATCAAAACCTCAGTGAGGTACCATTACAAGCCAGTCAGAATGGCTGCTATCCAAAAGTCTAAAAGCAATAAATGCTGGAGAGGGTGTGGAGAAAAGGGAACCCTCTTACACTGTTGGTGGGAATGCAAACTAGTACAGCCACTATGGAGAACAATGTGGAGATTCCTCAAAAAACTGGAAATAGAACTACCATATGACCCAGCAATCCCACTCCTGGGCATACACACCAAGGAAACCAGATCTGAAAGAGACACGTGCACCCCAATGTTCATTGCAGCACTGTTTATAAAAGCCAGGACACGGAAGCAACCTAGATGACCATCAGCAGACGAATGGATAAGGAAGCTGTGGTACATATACACTATGGAATATTACTCAGCCATTAAAAAGAATTCATTTGAATCAGTTCTAATGAGATGGATGAAACTTGAGCCCATTATACAGAGTGAAGTTAGCCTGAAAGATAAAGACCAATACAGTATACTAACACATATATATGGAATTTAGAAAGATGGTAAAGATAACCTTATATTCAAAACAGAAAAAGAGACAGATGTACAGAACAGACTTTTGGACTCTGTGGGAGAAGGCGAGGGTGGGATGTCCATAGAGAACAGCATTGAAACAAGTATACTATCAAGGGTGAAACAGATCACCAGCCCAGGTTGGATGCATGAGACGGGTGCTCAAGGCTGGTGCACTGGGAAGACCCAGAGGGATGGGATGGAGAGGAAGGCGGGAGGGGGGTTTAGGATGGGGAACACATGTAAATTCATGGCTGATTCATGTCAATGTATGGCAAAAACTACTAGAATATTGTAAAGTAATCAGCCGCCAACTAATAAAAAATAATTGGGAAAAAATAAATAAAATTTAAAAAAAAGAAAGAAAATGAAATCACAGGCAAGAAAAAAGAAGAAAAATAATAAATGAACAATGTTGTGGAAAAAAAGAAGATCTGAGATGAGAATGTCATCAAAAATAGACAACAGCTTTCAGTTTAATTAACTAGACAGAAATAAAACATCTATAGTAGAAGTAGCTTTTTCTGAAGACATAGAAGTAAAATATGTGAAACATCTGTTTATACAGATATGCACTACATAATTACCTGTCTCCATTGTTACAGAACTGAACAGCAACAACTTTGTCCTAAGACATAAAACAAAAGGTTTGTGATTAGAATTATTTTTAAAATTAATAAAGTACTCTTTCCCTCAAATTCACATGCGAAAGTTTCATTAAGTAGATTTTTTTAACATTATAATTTTCTTTAAAAAAAACTCCAATTTTCTTTAAAAAAATTAATGAAGAGTGAAATTATTAACTAAGGAGGAACAGTTATCAGCAGTAATTTGAGACAAACTTGTTTCTAAACCATAATCTCAAGAGACAAGATAGTTCTGAATAGGTGTTAGTTTATCATATTCCCCATAATAAAACAACACACTAAAATGCCAGTTTAAAATAATTCATTTAATAGTAGTTGAATTAAATTTTTCACTTAACATTTTTTTTATTTCAGAAAACAAATCAGTCATTTGCTGTTTCTCACATGGTTTATTTAATTATTTTACAATGAATTCATTTGACAGTCTTTAGGTATCTTAATTTAGATACTGTTGTTTGAATCTTCCTTTATGACTAAACTATACTTATTACAAATATAATGTGTACTGTAGTGATTATGCTATAGTAATGTACCTTCAAATGTAGTAAACATTTTCACAAACCACAATTATTGAACTACATTTGAACTTAATTTCTTTTAATTTTATTTTTTTATTTGTACTTAAAGTTTAATAAAAAGCTCAGATACTAAATGTCTTCATATTTAGTTATTTTTTCATCTTAAAAACACATTAAACCATCTTCATGTGTTCAGACATATCTGTGATTCGCACTGTTTCATGATTTCGCTGAGTATTTTTATCTGATAGATTCAGGACTCTCACTGCCAGTTCCAGTAACTGGTTTTAGATGTTATGAAAGGACATCTTAGTTTCAATGACTAACAGCTGCCACTAATTTCAACAGGGACTGTTGAAGTTTTTTGACTTTTTTTATCCAGGCCTCTGAAAAAACACCCTCTACCAATCAATTTTTCTTCATCTTCTCCCCCTCAATTATTTCCCATTTATTTATTACTTCCTCTTTTCTCAGTTCTCAATAAATTTGCCCTACTGTATACACACCTTGCTTGGGTGGTAACTGTAAAGATGCCTCCTTTGTGTGCTCTAGCACAAGTGGATTTTTCCCACTGGACAGTCTCAAGATTGAGATTGTTATATATTTCCCAAGTTTTTGTATTTCACAATTTAAATAATATCTCAGGATTTTAGTATCTAGGAATAAGTTACACCAAGGTGAGAGCTCAGCTTGGTTCAGTGACTCTTCATAAGCTGAATATCCAATTATGTTCATATGATAAGACAAAAGCAGGAGGCTGTTTCCAAAAGTTCAAGGAAAAGTTTCTAACAGGGGTCTCTGTTTTACCCAAATTTCAGGAACCTGAGTGATTCTGGAACTCACAAAGTATCTTTTTTTAAAAGTTATCTTTCAGGGAAATTTTGTGTTTTACTGATATGTACTAATACTATTCCAAATCAATTAAGCATCAAAAGTAGTAGGAACAGTAATAGTAAGACTTATAAAGCTGGGTACTTTCAGATGCAGACTATATAACTTTGACAATGAGGAACACGAGATCTACAGTGAGTTGAAACAAATACTCCCGTATTCAATAGCAAACAACAGTCTGGAGAAGAAGGTAAGGAAATAAAGAGGAGGAAGAAATAAAAAGTATACAGGGATATAAATAAATAATAATGGCTCCAAAATTTCTTGTAAATGTCACACAACAGTGGAGAGAGCTTGAGAAGAAAAGTCCCAGGCACCAATGGCTGTCACCCTAGTATAAAACTGTTCCCTGTATGGAAGGCTGTTGTTGACAATTAAGTGGGATTAGATTTCAGGAGTCTGATGGCATTCTAAAAACAATCAAACTAAGACCAATGAGCTAAGTTCAGTGAAGAGAATTGTTTTCCTAAGATGTACCTTAATATGTCTTTTAATAAGTAGACTTCAAAGTAACAAACTCTTACATGATTAATAAAGCAGGCTAAAAGATGATTTTTTAAATAAATTATTACTACAATGCATATTTTTCCCTTCTCATATAGTCAGAAATTGTCTTAAATACTATAAGCATACTAAATTCAGAATTTCATACCAATCTTTACCACTAAAGAGACATCTTACCATACAGGTTTCAGGACAAATCTATATTAGATTAGAGATCAGCAAAGAAGAAATAAAACCAGCTTTCCATGGGTGTTTAAAAAGAAAGCATGATATTTAAGTTTTTCATTTTGTTCTTACCGTATGTGACTCTAATTCAGCAATTTTCTCAGGGATCTCAGAACCCAAATAATATATTCTAATCACATGGTCAGTGCTACCTGTTGTAATGAACATACCACCTAGAGGATTAAAAAATAAACAAACTTTTAAGAAAACTATACCAAGAAACTTTAAAAACCCTCTGATTGCTTCCTTAGTTATACTTTACCTTATTAATAAAAAAGTCTTCAACAAACACAAGGTTATCTTCTAATTATTAAAGGCATATTAATATTTCAGAGAAAAATAAGTAAAATTCAAGAAAAACAAGAGGACTATTTAAGGAACAACTATATCACTCACCCAATAAAAACACAACTTTTATACCAAATATAGGTCTTTGGATCATAAACACTAAAAGCCTTGAGGGATTCATTGCTTTATAGCTTATAAAAATATAATGTTCCAAAATTATTTATAAAATAATCTATATTTACAATTCTCTGTTTAGTGGCTATAGTGGTTAAGGGTGAAAACTCAGCAGCTTTTGGGATAATGAAAAAAATTCTAGAGATGGATGGTGGTAATGTATGCAGAACAATGTGAATGTACTTAATGCCACAGAACTGTACACTCAAAAAATGTTTCTTAAAATGGTAAATTTAATGCTATATTTTACGACAAAAAAAATAGAAGGTTAATTAGCATACAATTCTTAATAGCAGTAGAAAAGCACTGTTTACATCCTGAGAACGGGTCTTCTATATGGAACCACAGTACATGTTTTCTGAAAAGTCAGGGTAGGATTTTCATGTTGAATTGTGTATGAGTGTTGGGGGAAGGTTGTACTTTTTACCAACTAAATTAATTGTTACATAGAAATACATTAATTGTGAATAACAAAAAACTCAAATTCTATTATATGTTAATTAGAATCCACAAAGGTCTATTATAACATGGCTCACATTTTTAGTATGTCTATTAATTCTTGAATATATGCATTTTTCTCCACAAAACTGAAAAATATTTTACAATTGAAAAATCTTTTATAACAATATTTTAGGTACTCAAAACACTAAATTTTTATACATACCAGAACTGAAAGATGAACAAGATATCTGAACTCCAGGTCTAGATCTCTCAGTAAATTTCACTGGGCGATCTCTAAGAGAAAAGTAAGATGTTTTTATTTTTCATCATGTTCTCTTAAAGCACAGGAATTTTAGCACACTGCTAGACATTGACAGATTTATCATCAATATTATAGAAACCATAAAACTGAAGTAGTCAATAGGTACTATTTCAACTACTGAAGTTAAAAATGCATTTAAACTTACAAACATACTTTATGCTATCAGTATTGTTATTTTAGCTTTACAAATAAGTTACCATGTTACTTACTACCATCACAAAGAAAAGCAAGGTGTTCTTATCACAGTAAGAAATGAAACAAATACTCCTTATCAAAATTTTGTGTATAGTCTCTTCAACATTGGTTTCATAAAAAATTTACTCTTAGAATCTCTAACATCCAATTGAAGTCAGTATGGATGTGTACACACACACCCATGCACACATAATTTACATATTTAATACATGAACTATCAGGAATCTCTCAAGATGATAAAGAAAAATGAACATTCTTTTCATAAAAATTTTAACCAAATTCTATACTTACTTAAACTTCATTGTTTTCACATGCCATTGCCAGAAACAGATTGTTCCATCAGCACCAGTAGAAGTGAGGTATCTGGTTGTGCCTTTAGTTGATGGACAAAACTGGAAAAAAAATTCTAATTAAAATAGAAACCTTTCATGTTCTAAGTTAATTTCAGTTTCAAGAAATTAGTTATTTAAATTTCCTAGATTAATGGATATTTTATTAAAAAATTAAAATATCAAAAAACTGTAAAGTCAGTCATTTAATTTAGGATGAAATATTTTAGTCCTAAAGACAATTATTTAAAAATTATTCAATATAACACTGAAAGATTATTATTTCACTGCTTTTAATGCAGAAAACACAAAGTCACTACTAGTTAAACCATTATAAATCTGCTGAATACATGCTTATATAGCAACAACATAAAATTTTTATAGTTTACCCAAAAAAGACATCAAAAGAAAATCTAAAAATCGGTAACTAGGAAGTTATGTCTAAGTATTTGGGTTTCAACATTTTAAATTCTTAACTGCAATGAAGTACAATGGAAATTTTGGCATTTTTAAATCTAAATCATTTTCATGTACATAGATAAAATAAGTCAAATGTCTGTATGTATCATTGTGGAAAAAAGATTTAAAAATATAAATTGAGTTGCCAATTTGAAGTATGACTACTATCCTAGATAAACCACAGATGGTCTTAGTCATGTAGGATTCTCAAACTCTAACTCTCAGTATTTTACACATCCTCAGAAGAGAATAAGGGAAAAGTTAACTGCACTCCTGATGTCTAGGACACAGGAAGACTGAAAATCAAACCAGGGTCTCGAGCATGCCCATGAGTTTTAAAAATCCCCAACAGGGAATTTCCTGGCAGTCCAGTGGTAAGGACTCAGTGCTTTCACTGCCATATCCTGGGTTCAATTTCTGGGTGGGGAACTAAGATCCTATAAGCCATTGGGCATGGCCAAATTAATAATTAAAAAAAATAAAAATTCCAAATAAACATAATGAATACCTTCCACTGAGATGAAGTTTAAGGATCAGATGAATATGACTTGAATAAATTTTAAACTCAAATCAAAAGCAAATAATCATAGATATTAGAAGTCATTTATTTAGTTTTCTTGTTTGGAAGCACAGACCTTCTAAAGACTACAAAGCTTAAATCAAACAAAAAATACCTATTAATATTATCCATTAAGAGCTGATGAACAGTAAAGAAACCAGTGCTCAGGTAGCACACTTATATATTCATTTCTGAGCTATAGGAGCTTGCATCAGAAAGCTTAATCCACAATCTATAGCAGAAGCCTCCAAATTATAGCCCACACACCAACTCCAGCTTCCTGCTTGTTTATGTAAATAAAGTTTTATTGCCACACAGTCACCTTAAACTGGCTATGGTTGCTTTGTACCATAGCAAAGTAGTTGCTGCTGCTGCTAAGTCGCTTCAGTCGCGTCTGACTCTGTGTGACCCCATAGACAGCAGCCCACCAGGAATTCTCCAGGCAAGAACACTGGAGTGGGTTGCCATTTCCTTCTCCAAGGCATGAAAGGGAAAAGTTAAAGTGAAGTCGCTCAGTCTGCAATAGAGGCCATATGGTCTGCAAAGCCTAATATATTTACTATCTGGCTGGTAAATATGCTGATATAGGATCTACAGGAATGAGACAATAAAAGATGAAATAGTATGATTTTATTAAGTTTGAAGAAACACTAAAACCTTTATTATCCTCATTATACTTTAACTTTTTCAATCACAAAGGGGAATTCAATCCATAAATGTATCTATTTTTGTATAAATGTATTTTTAATTAATTAATTATTATTTTTGGCTGCACTAGGTCTTCATTACTATGCATGGGCTTTCTCTAGTTGCAGCAAGTGGGGACTACTCTTCGTTATGGTGCATAGGCTTCTCATTATAGTGGCTTCCCTTGTAGAGCATAGGATCTAGGCATGCAGGTTTCAGTAGTTGCAGCTTGCAGTCTCTAAAGTGTGGACTCAGTAGTTGTGGCACCTGGGCTTAGCTGCCCTGCAGAATGTGGGATCTTCTGGGACCAAGGACTGAACTCATGTTCCCTGCATTGACAGGCAGACTCCCAACTACTGGACTACCAGGGAAGCCCCATTTTTGTGTTGTTTTTAAATGAGAAATCATGTTTAAGATTATAAAATTAAAAACACATGTGCATTTCTGAATATAATTTTTATTACATTACAATTATAATTTTATTTAATTTGTAGTTATTGAAGAAAAGCTAGGAAATATAGAAAAACAGAACAAAAGCTATTCATAACCCCACTATCCAGAGGCAACCACTGTTGACACCATACCATTTTACTTCAATTTTATTAAAAAAAGAAAGAAAAAAAAAGAAACTGAAAAAAAAAATACTATAATGTTAATAGAGACAATTAGCAAAGAATAAAGCATATAGAATGTATGCTAAATGATGACTATTACTATGAACAAAAATGAAATAGTGCTAGTAGGGGTGATGATTTACAATTTTAAAATAGTAAGCTAGTCAGAGAAGGTCTCCCTGGGAAAAGTGACAGGCATTTCCATCATTTAGAAAGTAAGGGAATAAGTCATATGACGGTCCAAAAAGGACCATTTCAGAGACATAAAACAGCAAAAGCAAGGGCAGGGGAGTAGCTAGAGTGGTTTAAAGCAGCAGCTAAAGCAGAATAATGACAAGCAGTAGGAGATAGGGTCAAAGAAAGCAAAGAGCTGAGAATGTAAGGTTTTGTGGGTCACTGTAAAACCTTCGGCTTTAACTCTGAGTTGGGAGGCTATTAAAGGTTCTGAACACCAGTGACATGATTTAATTTCCTTTTTTTAAACCTCCGCCTTAAAATCACTTATGCATCTATGCAGAGGCTAGACTCGGGTAGGAAAGAGGGATGGGAAGAAACAGGAAGATCAGTTAGAAGTCTGTTTCAATAATCTAGGTCACAGATGATGGTGGTCTGAAATACGGTAGTAATGACAAAGATCATGAGAATTTGTTCAGATTCTGGATATATTTTGAGGGTAGAATCAACATGATTTGCTAACAAGTTAGATATGCGATATAAGAAACAAAAAGTCAGGGATGACTACTCTGAGCAACTGGAAGGATGAAGTTGTCATTTGTTTATCTGGGAAAAGGTTTGGGAGGAGCAAATCTGAGGAAGGAAGACAGGGGTTCAATTTTGAAGATGAGTTTGAGATGCCTTGCAGACATTCATGTGATGACGCCAACTAGGTAACTGAATGTACAAGTATGGAGCTAAAAGATAGGCCCCAAGATGGAAGTACACATTTGGAGTCATCAGCTTACAGACGAAATTTAAAGCCATGAGACTTGATGCAATCACTAAGGGAAAGAATGTTATATAGAAAAGAGGTCCAAACAAAAACAACACACACACACAAAAAAAAAACAAAAGAGGTCCATGGATCTCTAGGGCACTTACACACACAAACAAAATGAGACAGAAACTAGCAAATGAAACTATGATGGAGCAAAACAGTTCCATAAACATTTTCAGTAGTAACAAATATTCATATTTTTCATGTTGTATAAGACTATCTCCAAATTTCAGAAATAGTCTGTCAGATAGGATGGTGAGAACACAAGTAACTAGTAATATCCCAAAACAAAATCCAATAGATAATTTCAACCAATCAAAAATTTGACATATAAATTTTCAAATCCAATATACATTGAACACAATTCTTGCTAGTGCCTCATAAACAGGTGATATATTATTTAAATATTGATAACAAAAATTGCCTGGCATACTTATTAGTGACTAAAGAACAAAGAAAATTAAATGGGAGTAATCATCTCATCCACAAAAGTGGTCTCCTTGACCAAACTAAAAGACAGTGTCAAAGGGATTCCTCTGTTTGCGGTCAACACAAAGAAGAAAACAAAAGTTCTCTGGGGAGTATCCAGGACTTTCACTACCAACATCTGGTAAAAACACTATATGGACAAATATTTAAAAAGCTGATGTATGTCAAACATCAAGTTGAAATAAGAAATTATTGAAAATAAGAATAAAAATTTCCCTAATATTAAACTACACACACAAAATCTGAACTGACAAACATTTTGCATTAAATATTAACACAAAGTATGCCAATATTCAAGTTAGAATCTATTTATATCCTGCTTAAAAGGTATCAGTGTTCCTTAAGGCAATTCCAAGTCTTGTCCCTTCTTCACAAATACAAATGAGATAAATAAGATGCCTTACACTGTACTCAAAAAACCTTTTCAATAACCGTTTTACTTGTTTCTAAATGGAACAGATTTATATGAAAAAGGAACTTTAAAAAAAAATACCTGTCTCTAAGATAGAGACAAAGCCCTTAAGAGATGAAAATTTTTCTGTTGCTACTCTTTATATCATATAAACAACGTAACAAAAAACAAGAAAATTCTCATTCTTATTATATATATTAGAGGTATCTTTGTATTTTTCTTACCTGTATGGAAGTGATAGAAGCTGAATGTCCCTGAAGGACTGCAACTGGTGCACAAGTTCGAAGACACCACACTCTTACAACTTTATCACAGCTGCCTGCGGCAATGAGAGTATTTTCATAGTTAACAGCCATGTCAGAAATTTCAGCAGAGTGCCCTCGAAGTGTAGCAAGAAGGCGTCCATCATCTGTTGCCCAGATTTTCACCAAACAGTCATCAGAACCCTACAGCAACACAAAGGGACAAAAGATTTACAATGAAACAGAAATTTGCCCCCTCACAAAGGGGTCAAAAAAAAAAAAAAAAGCAAAAACAAGGTGAGGATTTTATTAAGGTTGCTTCTAAGCATTTACTTTTTAGTCTCTTTTCTTCATATAATATGGATCTAATAGCAAATACAAAAGATGTCCAAATAATAGCACTGACAGTCTAAAATGATAATGGCATATGTGAATAACTCCTTAAAGCTACTATCAATTTTGATAATTCAAAACATTTTTAACTCACATTAAGTGTGGTGGCATTAAGTATATCTGCCATTATTTCTTTCCTTACACCTGACAGCCTTTTTACTTAATTGCTTGAGTATTTTGAATATTTTTTCTCTACAAATACTTAAAACTTTAACCTAAAATCTACATGCATTTCTCAGTAAACATGAGGCTTTATTACAACCTCTGGTGAAACTATTATGAACTTCCTTGTGAGAATTTCAAAAGCACTTTAAAATAGTAAAAAGCAATTCTACTCTAATGTGGTAGATAAGCTATCTATTTATAAAAAAATTAAAATCATCCTCCTCCTCCTCATCATCAACAACATCCATATACTCATTTTGAAGTCATGAAAACATCAATGGAAGAGTCTGTAATGAACTCCAAGTCGGACTTCTCAAAATACAAACCACTTCCTTTGTTTTAGCATTGGAATTTAAAAAGAAAATTATGCCATTACCTACACTTTTACATTAACTTAGTACTAAAACAATGAGATTAAGCCTTAACTTGGAAACATTAGTGTGCTACAATTTTGTACAAAAAAGCATACAATATGATCTAGTTAATAAAAATTCAATTTTAAAAATAGTACTGAATTCAAAGAGAGATATATACAATATTACAATATATAATCTTTGTTACTAACTGTGTAGTTTAACTACTCAACTATAAGGATGATATAATCATTAATTAAGCAGAACTGGCACCAATTATGCTAAATGGCAAATGAAAAATGCATTTTAATGTTTGCTAAAATAGAATGAAATCAAATTAAGTAGATAAAACTTGATTCACATAAATTAACTGCCTCTAGAATATAAGGCCTTCTGATGATTTAATTTTTAAAAAAATTAGATTTCCCAAATGATAGAAGTCATTATAGTTCATCCATTTACTTACATAAAAAGAGAAAAGATTTTCAATTTGTTTATTTTTTTCTTGCATTCATGTGTCTAAAAAGGAAGAACTACTTACAAAGCATAATTCAATTCCATGAAGCCTGGCTTCCATTGTTGTAAATCTCTAATACGCAAGTGTCATAAATTTTAAACTCACTGTAAAAATTCTTCTCCCACTTCTGTCAAATGCTACACAGTAGACAGATGACAAGTGACCCAGAATTCTCTTATGCATCTTAATGTGCTGGTAAGCAGCTGAAGGGAAAATATGGCTGAAACGACTACATCCGGTTAATTGCCTGGCTGAGGTGATATTCACTGAAAAACATAAAACAGAAGATTCACTTCTTAAAACCTAAAAGCAAAATCTACATTTAAAGTTAAATCATCAATATTATGATGAAACAAGAGGGTACACACACAACAGCAATTCTATGTTGTGAGAAGTCTAAATTCCATCACACATTTCACGATTTTACAAACTCAAGTTCATTACCACAAAGCCCTAAGAATATTTTTCTTTTAAATCCCAGAAGTCTGATTTTCTGTTTGCCTTCCTATGGTTTCTCAAGTACAATTCCATTTTGCCTTCCTTGGTTCACTATAGTCAAAGAAACTGTAACTTTAAATATATAAATAAATCTTACTATAACATGAAGGAAATTTAGAATAAAGACAGCATTTGGTCAAGTATAACACATCTTAAAAACTATATAGGAAATTTTATGAACTCCTGTCCTACCTTCTCACACCTATCCATACCATAAACAGTCATCCCTAAAAATTTATTAAGAGTATTACAAGAGATTCATACAGTAAAAAGAGGAAGAAGCCTATACCACCACATAGGTTTTCAGTAACAATGCTTTCTAGACTTGTCTATTGGTTTTCCTCATTTCTGGATTCAGAAACTAGACTCCCCCTCTAGTTATCAATGAACTTTTGAGGTTTCATCTCCTATAAGATCATCTTAGATCCTGTCTCTTTTTTTTGTTTTGTGATCTAATTTTCTTAAAAAGCAGACAGAATAAAGCATGCTGCTGCTAAGTCACTTCAGTCGTGTCCGACTCTGTGCGACCCCTTAGACGGCAGCCCACCAGGCTCCACCATCCCTGGGATTCTCCAGGCAAGAATACTGGAGTGGGCTGCCATTTCCTTCTCCAATGCATGAAAGTGAAAAGTGAAAGTGAAGTCGCTCAGTTGTGTCCGAATCTTCGCAGCCCCATGGACTGCAGACCACCAGGCTCCTCTGCCCATGGGATTTTCCAGGCAAGAGTGCTGGAGTGGGTTGCCATTGCCTTCTCCGAGAATAAAGTATAAATCTGCACAATTCTCCAAATACTATGTGGATTCTTCTCACGTCCCTAAAACAAAGATCTTGTTCCCTATGTAAGTATATACAAGCATCTACTCACTCTGTGAAATTCCTCCAGTATTCCACATCCCATAAACTGTATTTTAATCAAAACACAGAAACCTTCTGATCTTGAGGCAAGGCAAAATTTTACCATACTGCATAAATAACACAGTATAAATAATACCTTTATGTTGAAGCAAGGCAAAATTAAGGCAAGAACTGTGATTAATACAATTAGAACCATGCCACAATTAAAAATAAAAAAACTTTTCAACATCTCAATCTTTTTTCAGGCAGAGATCACCTTAACAGTCTCCTTAAATTGACAAAATGATAAAAAATGAATGAATAGCAAAATCCAACTTTGAATGCAAAACATAAGAACACATTAGAGATCTAAGTATTTATAGCGAGATGCTAAGTAAATAATGGTAGAAAATCCATAACCATCAGTACTATGTAAGAAGATTCCTTTTGGGCAGTTGCTTCCCATCCCAAACTCTAGAAATATCCACAAGTCTAAGTTGGGAAGAGCAGGCATTAAAGTCTGAAAATTATAGAAGTTATCTTCCTTCTCAGTCAAACATTTCTTACCGCTCTGAGTTCCTTGAAATAATCAACCATTACTTCTGCTTTGCTTTTCTACTTTCATATTTTGTAAGTAAATAGAGGAAAAGATGTGTTACTTTAAGGAAGGATTTCTCAACCTTGGAACTACTGGACTTAGGAACTTTAAGACTGGTGAATCTTTGTTGTAGGGGGGCTATCTGTCTATTGTACAGTGTTTAGCAGCATACCTGGCCTCTACCGAACAGATGCTATTAACACCCCATCACCAAAAACTTGTGACATACAAAAACATCCCCAGACATTGCCAAACATCTCCTGGGGGAAAAATTGCCCCTAGTTAAAAATCAATTTGAAATTTAAGAACTAAAAGCAACATCATCAATATGAAGAATAAACCAGAAAATCAGATGGAGAAAGAATAAAAATTACAGAATATATGATAAACTATTCCATAAAAATTAATAATTAAAATTGGAAACTACCTCAGTGTGGAATTATGAACTATAAAGCAAAACATATGGACTTCTAAATATATGATGACTTAAGTTATATAAAAATACATATATATGTGCATAAACACTAGAAAGAAAAAGAAAAATGAAATCAACCACTTTGTGATAAAAGTGTAGATTTTTTTTTAAGTTTCATTTAAACACTCTTCTATGGGCTTCCCTGGTGGCTCAGACGGTAACAATACAACTGCATTTCAGGAGACCTCAGTTCAATCCCTAGGTTGGGAAGATCCCCTGGAGAAGGGAACAGCTACCCACTCCAGTATTCTTGCCTGGAGAATTCTATGGACAGAGGAGCCTGGCAGGCCATACAGACCATGGGGTCGCAAAGAGTTGAACACAACTGAGCGACTTTCACTTATCACTAACACTCTTTTAACATACATTTTTATCTTAAACAGAAGTTTTCTATTAGGTTCTGTAGTCCATTAACAGCTATTCAAAAAATTCCAATATAAGCTATATTGCATATTTGACAGTATAATCATCAAAATATTCCTTGTTTCCTAATTCAGCAATCTTTTTTATATATAAAATTATATATATATATATATATAAAATCACATGAAATGATAATGTTTGTATATTTTTCTCAGACATTTGGTAATGTCAACAGGCCTTACGCTCTATATTCAATAAGGAGTTCTGTCAACACTCTTCTGCATGTATTCTCCATTTAGCCACTATTTTCAGCACTGATGCTTTTTGTTTTTCTCACATCTTTAAAGAGCATTTTATTAAGAACATTTTCTGAATTTTGTAGTGACTGAGAAATAACTATAAAAACACAATTAAAAAGAGTTTACTTTTGACCAACGCTTGAGTATTTTACTAGAAAGTGAATCTCATTCTTCCAGCATGAATATATATAGCTCCTTTGGGGGAGAAGGATGCTCAAAGTTCCTTTCCTCAAAAGTACTAATAAAATAAAGGGACACACATACACAATTATTACTGTGTTGTATTTAAATGTGTCTATCAAGATTACTATGAAAAACTATATGCCAATAATATGGACAACCTAGAAGAAATGGACAAATTCCTAGAAATGTACAATCTCCTAAGATTAAACCAGGAGGAAATAGAAAATATGAATAGTCCATCAGTAACCAAACTAGTGGTTACCAATGAAGAGAGGAAAGGGGGTAAGGGCAACTTAGGGATAGGAGGTAAAGAGATACAAACTACAATGTATAGAAGCCACAAGGATATATGTTGTACAACACAGGGAAATATCACCAGTATTTTACAATAACTATAAATGCAGTACAATCAATACAAATTTTGAATCAATTATATACCTGCAACTAATACTGTAAATCAATTTACATGTCAACTAAAAATAAATAAAAGTAAAAAATACATCTGTGTCTCTTTTTCTGTTTTGCATATAGGGTTATCGTTACCATCTTTCTAAATTCCATATATATATGTTAGTATACTGTAATGGTCTTTATCTTTCTGGCTTACTTCACTCTGTATAATGGAGAAGGCGAGGGTGGGATGTTTCAAGAGAACAGCATCGAAACATGTATATTATCTAGGGTGAAACAGATCACCAGCCCAGGTTGGATGCATGAGACAAGTGCTCGGACCTGGTGCACTGGGAAGAGCCAAAGAGATCGGGTCGAGAGGGAGGTGGGAGGGGGGATCAGGATGGGGAATACATGTAAATCCATGGCTGATTCATGTCAATGTATGACAAAAACCACTACAATATTGTAAAGTAATTAGCCTTCAACTAATAAAAATAAATTTAAAAAAAAGTAAAAAATAAAAAGTATATACCAAATTTTTAAAAATCTTTAAAAATAAATGTCTATCAAATGCACTATTTGAACACATTGATTCTTTTGTTAAGGTTTTTAAAATAACATTTATTTCTTAAAGGTTAACATGTGCATAATAGGAAACCAAAAAACATAAGAAGCAAAACACAAAGTCATTTATAATCACAAGCAGTCTACCATTTGATATGTTATTCTAGGTCTAATTTTTGTATTTTCACAACTAAGCATCCATTTTTATGTAATTAAGATCTTACAGTTAAGTATCATGCTGTTTCACATATCATAAATATTTATCATTCCAAAGTCCCAAAGCTATGAGTATTTTGATAGCCAAGAATACACCACACCAACTCAATCTGGAAGGAAAAAAATGTAATCCTGCCTTTGTTGGTGACAAAAATTTCAGAAAAGATAAAAATGGCAACAGGCCTTTAGATAAAGATACTGGAAGTTATGATTAAAACACTACATTGCTTCCTCTTCTATTATAAGCACAAGAGGTGAGCAATTTAAACTTTCACTCTAACAAAGTAAAATGATGTATTAATGAGAAACAACTACAAATAAAAAATTCCCACAAACTCGATACCAATATATCCAGTATTCATTATCACATTCTCAATATTTAGCCTTCTAATATCTACAGTATTTCAAAAGCAGGCAACAGTTTTAGTATATATAATTAATTACCTTGATTAAAGTATTTTAAAAACACTATAAGAGTAAAAGTTATCTCAGCCTCTATTTACTAAGGAATTTAGCTCTCAAAGTTAAAAAAGTGAGATTACAACATTCAAAACACTGGTAAGAACAGGGCAATCAAGGAACACAATTTTAGTCAGAACAAAATGTCTGCTTCTTCATCCACTGTTGTAAAGGATTTGGCAACCTTTGAAAAATAGCACACATTAACTAGGACACCTTTCTATCTAGGGAGCTAAGATGGTTATAGTCAGGTTTAAACAATCAACCACAGAGTATCTTCTCTTGAGTAGTGATGTGAACATGCCAACTTTGTCTTGAAATATATTAAGAATTTTTGAGAAAAACATTTTTGATGTCACAATAAAATGTTGACAAATTAGTCAA